ATAAAGATATCCATATGCTATATGTTGAAAAGTGCACTTTCGACAGTTGCTAAAAGGCCCCACTTTCAAAACAATTCATCTTACACTATCGAAAAATGCATCTAATAATATATCTAATTGTAAAATTAGCTGTAAGTTTTATAAGAAAATAGGTTCAACATGGGATTAATTTATAATTTTGCGTAAATGGACATAACTGTGCATGTATATTGTTCAATCAGATTTTTTTTTGTTATGAAATATCTTTTTGATAATATGTAGACAAATGACCAGAAAGAAAATAAAGTATATTATACTAATAGGACAACAAAATAAACATTCTAGCACAATAAATATCATAATCCAACTTCGAATAATTGGTCTCAATAGACTGTATCGTAGGGAAAACCGCACAGAAAATTGTATTTTTCGACTTTTTTAGCATAGAAGTTTTTTTTTCAAGGTTTTTGTAAACAAAAAGAAGATTTTTGAATTCTCAAACAGTGATCATTCTATAGAGAGTATTTCTATCAAAATAGTGGACCTAGAAAAAATGAAAAAAAAAAAAAAATTGAAAATTTTCCGTTGAGAAAAGCAAAAATTCCTTTAACATTCGATCATACATTCTAAACGTGATATAATTTTAAAATGAAAGTATATGTTCGTAGACTGGACAGAAAACCGTAATCTTATACTTTTCTTCTTCCGAATAAACTGCATGATTATTTCACTTACTTTTATTCATCATTGCAGCCAAATACAGTTTGAAGAATAAATTTATCAAAAGTATTCTGCTTGTGTAAGATTATAAACAAAAACAATGCTCATGAAAGTTGATAAAATTCCAATTGCATAGACAGTAATAGATGTTTGAGTCTGAAAATAGAAGATTTATGATGAAGAGACACGCCTGATAGGCACTGGAATATTTATATTTCTCTGTTGTCTTTTTTTCTCTCTTGAGTGATAAATAAAAAGGATAGGCGAATCCGTGATAGACTTCTTATCATACTGCAACTATTATTCCTTGGATGATTTTACCAATCTTGTTTTTAATACTATTTGCTCTTAGTAATTATATGCTCTACTTTCTAATAGAGAAAAGTAAACGAAAATTTAAAAAAACACAAGACATTATACGGTTAAATATTATTCGTTGGAAAAAAAAACAAAATATAAAAATTAGAAAAAAACATAAGGTTTTACTATATGTACCTAGCCATCTGCAGATTTTATAAGTACAGAAATGAATATTATGAATAAAATATTGCATGCAATTTTATACAGAATATCCCTTTATATTTACTATCGTAACAGTATATATCGTATAGGTACATGAACGTTACGAGTCGAAAAAGAATTTTATAAATGGTGTTAATCATTTTTTCGAGTAACAAATTCTATACAAAACCAACTCTAATTTTTGTTTTAATAAATTAATTTTTTTTTGAAAGTACGAAGATGTCAGACTTTATTTGGATCATCCGTTATATTTGAATTTAATTACGTTTTCGTTTTGTCAAACATCTCATAATAAATAATATTTTGCTCTTATTAATCTAACAGATGGCATTGATGGCTGCTGTTATATAATTAATAATAATAAACGACGAATTACAGTTCTATTATAATCTCATAACTCAGTTGTCATCGTGAGTTAGAAATCAACTTACTCTTTCTTTAAAATCTAGAATATATTTAACCAAACACGTTAATGAAAAAATATTCATTGAAGAAATACAAAAATTTCCAATCAATTTTTGAGAACGCTAATTTCGACTGGTTTCATCATTATTCATATGGTGAATATTAGAATATACTTGTTTTTCTTTCTGAAATGTTAAGTTAAATAAAAGTTTCTTTAAAATAAGTAGGAAAAGACGTATGATGAAGTCATGAGCAATAATTTATTGGCCCTCATCCCCATCCAATATATAAAAAGGGAAATAAACGACAATCTGTCATGTTATTAATGTAGAAGTATATCATTTTAAGTCCTAAATATGTTCTAGATATTGCTATTTTGAATAAATAATTTCAACATGATCAAAATAAGAAATAGCGTCTTGAATACATTTAAATAGATAATAGGATATTTGAATATTAGATTGAGTAAAAGATTTTTCATATTCTATAATACTATTTCTAGATTATTTCTTTATAGTATTTTTCTTCCTCGAAAGATCAGAAATAGATAAAGAAAAATAGAAGTGTAATGTCATGAACTCATTTTCTTGCTGTTAACAAGTTAAAATAAACCACTTCAGGCTGGTAACATTTATTGCTAAACACATTTCCACTTCTATTCATTGAATTTCACACTTATGTTAGTTTGAAGTCAATCAATAAGACTGATGTGTCCTAGAACTGACTTATCACACAAATCACTGTTATTGCTTTAGCATAGTTAATAATTGACTTTGTTAGTATCAGAAAAAAATAATATATTTCATTTATTATTTTAGTTATTTAGATATAAAGATATTTTCATTGTTTCATAAATTACCTCTTATCGTTTGTTGCTTCGTTTATAAACATGAAAATAAATAAATATCAAGAATTAATCAAGTATTATGTCTAAAATGAAAGATTATATTGACGTCTATGTATGTGCATCTACATTGCTGAATAATATTAAGAGAACGTATTGAAACACATACGTTCGTTCACACTGATCATTAATTGAATAGTTAACATAACTTTAACACAACAGAAGCAATGCTGTTGTCAACTACGTACGAAAAAAAAAAATATAGAACTGAAGTTTATATATCTAACTCACTTTTTATCATATGTTTTAGTTCGCAGGGAAAGAATATTTGAAAAAGTTTGACGATGATGAAGATAGTCAACAAACAATAAATTTCATTATAAATAAATGTTTTCTAGTTCGCGGATCGAAATAATCATTTAGAAAGAAAAAAAATAGTCTCGAACATTCTCTAATCGTTTTAGTCTAGATGAAATCAATATATTACTAAAAAATACCAAACACAAGCATCTATTGAAATTTGTTGGACTATTAAATAAGACAAAATTTTAACCAAATCAATCTTCTAATGCACGAATACGTTTAAAACATAGAAAATCAGTATCACTTATTGAATATGCTGAATGTCATTATTATCCTTAATTATGTATTGAAAATGTTTCTGGTGATTTAAAAGAACAAAAAGATATTGTGAAGAAAAATCTAACACAAATAATTAAATATGTATATATTTTTTAACATCATGATATTAAGGGTTTGATTTGGAAACAATTTGAATTACAATATTTTTCATCGAATGTTGGAGAATTATCAATATCAGTTGGTTCACCACTTTATGATGATAAATTTGTATTAATAGTTAATTCTTATCAGTCAAGTGGAAATAATCGAAAAGCATTTATTGTTCACCAAGAATGAATGACCATTATATGAACATATTGATTACTCTCCAGCAACCTATAAAGAATTCGTTTTTTTTTTAAATAAAAACGAAGAAGAAATTAGATTGAATATAGACGATGAATGAAAACGTTCTTGTTTAAAATATTTCTATTGGAATGTTTATTATCCTATACTTTTTCTATATTTTCTAATCTAGCAAAGTAACAATAATTTTTCGTATATAAGTAATTAAAATTATTTATATAGTCTTCTAGTAAAGCATCTTAAAATAAAAGTTACTCTTCTTTTAGTAACTATCATTTTTTGTTGGATTGTTAATCGATCTTTATATTAAGTAAATATTCCGTTGTATCATTATTTCTTATTATTATTTCACATACATGGCATGTAATTAATGCTATTATAGTATTTATTAATATGCATCGATTGTCGATTGATACAAATAATTTTCATGTATGGATTGATCGATACTTATTCTTTATATTTTTCTGTTTTAGTTTATATATTGTTATGCATTAGTGTATGATTATGTAGCTTTATCAAGTTCAGTTTGAATATCAAAGATAAATAAACGAGAAAAATACATAATACTAACAGTGATTAAATTATAGACAATGTTAATTATATAATGATTATTATCAAAATATATATATATATATGGATTTGGTCAACTTTAAAAGACACATAACAAAGTTAAATTTAATTTAACAAAATGCAAAGAGATATTATGTTATTATAGATCAAATGACATTTTTTTTAAATAGCAAAGTATAATTTCTCTTTTTGATTTGAAAATGAATAATATTTTTTGCAATTTTAATAATGGATCATCCATAAGAAACGTCCAGATAAAAATCACATTATTTTGACAGCTCTTCATTTCGACCCGTCGCGTAGAGTCCATCAGGTTCAACATTTTCAGTAGTCAGACTAAGATTACTAAACTTTATTGGGACTTGAATCCGATCAAACCGTACTTTGATATTCTCAATGAAGTTTTCTAATAGGAATGGGATAGTCGCTATAAAGATACGAGATTCTTTTTCTGATTTCCTGTATTCGGTGACTAGAGTTTCATCCATATTTATCAAGCGGTTAGAGTCCATCGTCTCCAAAATTTTTGAACCTGGCTGACAGAAAAATTTAAGAACCAAACGCAAACGGATCCGGAACCAACCGAAGGGGCTCTAACATCAAGTATAAAATAAAACTTTCAGAAAAAGTCTGCTTGTTCAAATATACTGCTTCTTTTTCATTCAATAAATAAATGAATATAAAAAAGACACATTTCAGAAACAAAAAACAAAAGTATAATCTATTACAAAGCTTTTGTTTTTTAAATACATTCAGTTTTAATGAGCAGAAAATAGTAAAAGAAAAACATAAAGTTCAATGCAAATGACACTCGAATACCTCACATAGTTGCTGCATAAAATAGGTATCTGTTCATGTAACATGATGTTGAATTATTTCAACATTGTATTTATATTCAACTGATTTTTTTTCATTTTATTTCCTATTTAAAATGCCAATATCAAGTTGCGAAAACAAAACAGCCATTTGGATCTATATCTCTGTACAGTCTATTTATTTATTTCATGGTTTGCATTAACAGAAAAACAAACAATTATTTATGACGACACCGTATTTGTTTCTTCTTGCATGTAACTGTTACCGATGCACCCAAAAATTGATATGATGACGGTAAAGCTATTGCAACATTAGTAGTACTATCTGATACTACAATACATCCTTGTCCATATCCGATTCTATCAATATTTATTGTAACAGTACCGTTAATACGAGTTGGATGAGAAACTGTAATTGAAAAATCAGTAGCAGTTTCATTAAATAAATAAGCACCAGCATCATTTACTCGTATATTTATTTTGAAAAATGAATTTTGACATGAAAATATTGTTGTAACATTATTCCATAATACAAATGATGCACGTTGCATAGTTGACCATGCCATTCCATGAAAAAACTCATTATTTGATATACAAGAAAATACATGATCATTATTATAACGTTTAATTAATTCAGGCATAAATTCAACATTGATATTAGGTAAAATAATATAACTATAATTACAAGTATACGGTCCTAATCCATGATCTAACCATACAGTTACTGTTCGTCTAGTTATTGTATCATTCTATGGTCCAATTGTATTATAAGATGCTGTTTTTGTACTCACTTCTGCTCCTAATGTTGAATAGAATTCTTGTGTTTGTAAAAGATAGCCAATGTTACTTTCACCAATATGTATCCATTGAACATTATCTGATTTATTGGTCGTATAAGGAAATGAATAATTAATTCCATCAGAAAGTGAAATAATATTATCATTAAAAAAACCAATAGTAACATTACCTTTTGATAATAAACGACTAACGAGTGTTGTCCATGCTGTATTTTTTGTATTAAGTGTTAAATTACTTGCTAATGCAATAACTGCATCATCATAAAAATGCCATGATCTCTTTACAGTAAGATTATGAGTTGCTGTATCCATCATAGATAAACCGTAACTATCATCACTAACACCACCGACAAAATTTAATTTTATCCAATCGAAAATACCACGTGTACAAGGTTCAATTGGAATATCATGTTCTACAGTAATACCATTGATTGATTTCCAATCTAATAAAGGAAATATTTCTCTATAATCAGATGCATTTGTAGTATAGATATTTAATACACCTTGACCAAGATTTTCACCCTTTTGATTTTCATAATTAATACATTCAGTAGGTTGAGTTCGAATTGATTGCATTTTAATAGCAGTTGTCCAATTAACACGACGATGAACTTGATAATCAGATGTATAAAAATGTTTATTTCCAATTAATGAAGTAGCATTTAATTTACAATCAAGACGATCAGCAAAACTTAATAAATCTATTTTAAGATAATCTAATTCTACTAATTGTGCTAATGATCTAATCCAATTTGATTGAAATTCAACTTGTAAAGAAGTACCTGCTCTATCAATCGATCTACCTAAAACTTGCCAATCCCATCTATTGTTTATTATCATCCAAGCATCACCTTGTATTAAAAAATGAGTAAATATTATTATTTGTTGTTGATTTAATTCATATTGAGTATTTCTACTACATAAAATGAATATAAACATAGCTAAAGTCCAATCTTGTCCATAAGCACCTGATAATAATTGTGTTCCATGAAAATGATATGACCAATCACTTTGTATACCTTGTCCACCTAATGGTAAAACAACAATATCTTGCCACATACGTGTAAAACCTTGTTCAAGACCAGTTCTATTATTTGTTGCTAATGATCGATATAATTCAATTTGAATCATCCAAATAAGATTTGCTCCTGTTCCAGGATCATGTTCCCACCAATTAGAACGAAATGATATTTCAGTAATTTTTTGAATTTCAAAATTTGTTGCATTATCACCTAACATTAATAATTGACTAGTAACCAAAAGTGGAATACCTATTTGATTAAACCACCAATTTGGATTTAACCAATCACGTATTAACCATACATTGAGAGCACAATGAGCACCGATTGCTAATTTTGGATCATTTTTTACACTAGAATTTGGAAATGTTAATGCTTGTATCATAATATTAACTCGTGTTAAATGTTCTTCTGTGGCCCAAATAGCTAAAGTTCTATCGGCATAATTAATATCTTCCCAATAACATGAATTATTCATTTTTTCATTGTAAAAAATTGCAGCATGTACTATATTTGATATAGTATTCATTGTTGGCCAAATTACCATTTCTAATACACGTTGACGAATCATAGCAATATCATCATTAATGGATTGGCAATTAATAATTGTTGAACATGAGAATACAAGAAGAAGAAGAAGAAGAATAGGCATAAACGATTGATAATTCATTTCTTCTGATTATCAAGAAATTATATTTCAATAAATAGCTAGTTGATATGCTTCATACAAGGTCTTTATTTATTCATTCTTATCATTAAAGAAAAGAGTGTAAATATAAGATTTTTTGTTCTTGAAATTATTTGCAAAGGCAAATCTTTAAAAAAAAAAGAACTGAGAACCTATGTTTTCTTTTATTAAATTTTTACGCTTTCAGTATTGAGATTATAATATAAATAAAATATATATTATATGAAATTTGAAGAAAGCTTTTTAAACTAGAGCATATATATATATATTTTTGGAATTCTAATCACGTTGAGTTAAGTTTATAACATACAAGGGAAGGTTGTCCACTGATCCATGTCATTTTCAATGATATTATGTCCATACATTGAAGACGTTATTATAAGAAAAATCCTAAGAAGGTTTGAGCTGACAGAACCTCTTTCGAAGATGATAATCATTTTACTGATTTTTTTTCACTTAATAGAAGGTATATACAGAATTTCAATTACATATATTTCTCCAATATTATTTTCATGATCATTAGAACACTATAAAAATTTCAGTAGAGAAAAACAAGTCGAATCGTTAAAAAAGTGAATATTTCTGAACTTTAAACAATACGAGACAAGTTTTTAAGAATTCTTATCTGGAGAAGAAAGCATTTGTGTTCCACTGCAACTTTTCGAGTACTCTAATGACCTCAAGAACGGCATACATATGGACAAAATTTCAAAATGAACTTTTGTTGTTTAATTTTTCTTATGCACCTTGTGTTAGGGAGAAGATTTAATACAATGGTCGTAATCTTCGAAATAAGTCTCATTCGCCTAAGTTTTGATAAGATCTTTCTTAGAATAATATCTCCATCATATAAACAAAATATCATTGAAACTTTCTCTCGGTAGATAATTTGTTTCAAACCAAAAAATAAATGCAAAGTCAGATTATCCAGTTCTAATTTATGCTATGCAATAGTTATAAGTAACAAATTTTAAATAATTTTATACATTTACCACTTTTGTTCATGAAAACAAAATGCTTTATATCATTTAAGTTTATGACATAAATATGAATGAAATATACAAATTTGATAATATGTTTCAATGAATCAAAGTCAGCGTACAAACGAAATTATTTAATCCGTAACCATTGCAACAAGATTACATATTTTAGATAGACGAAAAGAATACAATATGATCATTATCTTGTAGTGATTAAGACGACTATCACATGGAACTTTCTTTCTTAGTGCTCTAATTATCTTTAGAGAAATTATTTCTTTATCAATCGGCTGAATAAAAAGCAACAAAAAAACCTTGATACTGATATTCATTCTTATCAACGGTAATAACTATGAATACGAACATCTTTATAGATAAACATGTACGACGTCACTTTTTCTCTTGTTTATTGATAATTTACATGATAACACAGAAAAGAACAACAATAATCACTAGAATTATTTGTTTTTAATCAAGAAAGTGAGAATGAATGATAAAACAACACATCTACTCTTATTACTCAAAGTGTTATTTTCTTTTGTCTATCACTTTTTATTTAGTTTTTTATCTTACATTTAAAGAGAGAAAAAAAAAAGAACAAAGTAAAGATTCTAACCTTTCTTCATTCTAACATTAATAATAATAATAATGTTTCATCGTGCAGCAAGTGGTGCTAAATTTCTTCGTCATATTGTTCTCTTTAAATTCAAAGATACAGCTAGTCATGCCGATATTACTAAAATTGAACGTGAATTTCGAGCATTAGCTACGACCAAGGTACCACAAGTGCAACAATTCGAAAGCGGAACACACATTGGTAAAGAAAATTTAAATCAAGGTTTTACTCATGGTTTTGTATTAACCTTCAATACTGAACAAGATCGAGATACATATATGGCTCATGATGATCACAAAGCTTTTGTTAAACTTCAACAAGGAATTGTTGATAAAAAAATTGTACTTGCTTTTTGGGGCGAATAGATTTTTATATTAGAATATATTTATTTAAATAAATTCGTAGTTTTATTGTTGCTGATTTTATTTTATTTTATTTCTTTCTATACAAAACTTGTGATATCTAAGATATCTATCTTGCATTCGAATTTTATATAAAATACTTATGAATTATGTTATATGCAAATATACTGATTGTGCTCGTGTATGTAGTATTTATCTATTTAGAAAAGTATGTGTATGTTTATAAGAAGTATGTCAAAAAATGCGCGACCTCTTTTTGTTTCTCTTGCTCAATTCCCGATAATTATTAATAGCAGGAGGCTGCTGCATAGAGAAAGAATATGCCTATGTGATGAAGTTTGATTCTATTTTGACAACTGTGACGTATGCTTATGAATGAAATTTTATATATTTTCAATAACATATTGAATATTCACATCGAATAGATTCATTTGTTAACTTAAATTATGACAACGAACTCTTTTCCACAAAATTCCATCGTCAGTAAAAATAAAAACAACGACTATAAAGTCAATCTTGTAATTTTCGAATTCTTTTTTTTTTAATCACATAAAAGATATCTTTTTAAAATTAGCTTGAATCAGAGCCTGATGATGATGATTGGACTCGAGCAATTTATCATGATCTCAATATAAAACGACGAACATGTACTACATTTATTCCACAATCCTCAGCAATTACTGATCCGTATGTTATCAAAAGTTCAATTGTCTTTTCTTTTAATAAAAAGAAAAAAATAATTTTAGTGGTAGAAATAAGAATGATGTTCCATGTGGTTGTAATCGTCTTCGTCGTGAACATTCTTGGGATGTTCTCGAGAAAAATGGTCTTGAATGGAATCGAAAGGAGCATACAAAATCGGCTTGCAATAATGCATATGGATCTATGCCGAATACTCATGCAAATTATATTCGATGTGATATTGAAACACACCCAAATATTCTTGTTAAGTTAATGTTTGATGTATGGAACGTTACGGAACCACAATTAATAATGTGTATTATTGGAGGAGCTAAATATTTCAAATTAAATGAACGACTTGAAAGAGAATTTATGAAAGGTATTATTCAAGCTGCGTTGAGAGCACGTAAGAGAAAAAAAGAAAGAAAGAAAATATGCAAAAGATAAAATCTATTTGATTTATTTTAAAGATGGTTGGATTGTAACAACAGGATTTAAAACGGGTGTTGTACAACTTGTTGGTGAAGCTATTCATGATCATAAAGTAACTAATCCACAAAGTCATATTACTGCTATTGGTTGTTCGAAATGGGGTGCAGCTAAACATCGAGCATCACTTATATCAGTAAATGTTTGAAAATTGTTTTTTTTTTAAATTGTTGTATTTTTGTTTCTAGTCAAAAACATCAACTAATTTGAATCAAGATTCAACGATGGGCACATTAAAAATTAAAAAAAGTGAACAAGATCTTGAACCGAACCATACGCATTTTTTATTACTTGATGATGGAACTTATTATGGATATGATATTGGAGAGTATCGAACAAAATTTGTTCTTGAAGCATCGCGTTATAAAAAAGATGGNAGTATATTCGATGTGATATTGAAACGCACCCAAATATTCTTGTTAAGTTAATGTTTGATACATGGGATGTTACGGAACCACAATTAATAATGTGTATTATTGGAGGAGCTAAATATTTCAAATTAAATGAACGACTTGAAAGAGAATTTATGAAAGGTATTATTCAAGCTGCGTTGAGAGCAAGTAAGAGAAAAAAAGAAAGAAAGAAAGAAAATATGCAAAAGATAAAATCGATTTGATTTACTTTAAAGATGGTTGGATTGTAACAACAGGATTTAAAACGGGTGTTGTACAACTTGTTGGTGAAGCTATTCATGATCATAAAGTAACTAATCCACTAAGTCATATTACTGCTATTGGTTGTTCGAAATGGGGTGCAGCTAAACATCGAGCATCACTTATATCAGTAAATGTTTGAAAATTGTTTTTTTTTTAAATTGTTGTATTTTTATTTCTAGTCAAAAACATCAACTAATTTGAATCAAGATTCAACGATGGGCACATTAAAAAGTAAAAAAAGTGAACAAGATCTTGAACCGAACCATACGCATTTTTTATTACTTGATGATGGAACTTATTATGGATATGATATTGGAGATTATCGAACAAAATTTGTTCTTGAAGCATCGCGTTATAAAAAAGATGGTACTTTTATAGTAGTCTCAAAAAGTCCAACTATCGGATAAAAAGTACATAAACTTTAATCCTCTTTCCTAGTATTTTGGTTATAAATAGAATTCGGTAAACGTTGATCGCAAGCAGCGACCCACGGTCAATAGATCTTAATATAAAGGATTTACGATGAAACCATTGGTTTTTTCTTCGGGCACAATAAAGGTTTTTTGACAGTTTTCTGGTTTTTCACTATTTAAATGGATTGACCTCCATTTCGTTATTAGTAAATAAAGATGCACATGTCTATATTCTGTCACAGATAAGGTAATTTAGTCCGCTGTAACCTTGAGACGTGGAGACACATCATTTTCTGAAATAACCTCAGTATGGATCTCTTCTCTATTGATGACTGCGTTCATGAAATTTTCAAGGAAAAATTCATTAGAGCAAGGCACTCATTGGAGAATATTTCAAGACAAATGGTTAAAACCAGTCTGAGATATCGCTCACTTGTCAACGATTCTCATCAACTCTTATGTAGAAATTACTCAAAGATTACTCTTAAATCAGACAAACTAAAATCGTTTGACATAGAATTTGTATTGGTGATAGGAGCAGCACTGAGCTATCTGAGTAAAGAGTTTAACATCATGAGATTTGTTTTCTATGTTGAGATGTCTTCATCTGAAGGGGAATCTATCCTGGCCTTCTAGTTGCTTCGCATTGAGTTCGATCAAGTCCTATTAAGTCTTTGCAATTAGTGTTCAATATGTTCTATTTGTGGTCACACTATAAGACTAAATGATTCAAGTTTAAGTACTTTTTTATCTGGGAATGGAGCTTTTTGCGACTACTGTTTATATTTTCAACTTCTTATTGTTTATTAATATTTTATTTAAGTTCCCATTGTGACTATAGTAGTTGAAGGTGGTCCAGATACATTATCAACAATTTACAATGATCTTGCTAATAGTATACCAATAGTACTAGTGGATGTATGTATTTCTATTTATGTCATAGTTATATATATACATTGATCGTTCTTTATCTACAATAGGGTAGCGGTCGAATACCTAATCTTCTTGCTAATTTTCTTAATCGTACAGAATCAATGATTCATCGAAGCAGAAAAGATAATGATGGTGCTAACTGGAAACAAGTAATCGATATCAAAGCAGCAGATGATGTTGAAAAGTAAAATATCTATTTGTTATTATGCGTATTTATATTCGTTGATTAATTATTTTTCAAGATTAAAAGTGAAATTTCTACCTTATGCAGATGAAATACGTGATGGTTTAAGAGATATATCTAAAGGATCAAAAACATCAGAAAAACAGATGGAGCAATTATTTAAATATTTTCTTTATTGTTTACAACCAGCTGTTCGATGTAAAATTCGAATATTTAGTCTGGATAGTAATGAATCTTTAGATGATACCATTTTTGAAGCTATTGTACAAGGTAAAATGAATTCTATTCAATATAATTATATGATTATTTTTATTTATAGCAAAACAACAAGAAAGTGTAGAAAAAAATAAAGCAGTGAATCGAGACCAGTTATTATATTTGGCACTTGCTTGGAATGCTATTCATGTAGCAAAAGAATATATCATTAAAGATGATTTAAATGATCTTCGCGTAAGTCTACAAGCTAATCTAATAAAGATTGTTGAAAAAAAAATTATTTTCTAGCCAGATACGAAAGAAAAATTATTTTTTGATGCACTTTTAATTGATCGTCCACAATTTGTTAATACATTTATCAAATTAAATTTCGATGTAACTCAAATGTTCTATGAAAGACAAACTAATCAACCATGGAAATTAAGATCGAAACAATTGCTTAGATTATATGCCAATGATGACAAGAAAAATGTAAGATAAAATAACAGATTCGATGATCTATTTTATGTCGAACTACTTTTTCTTTTGTGAAACACGATCTAAAAGGAGTATTGAAATACATAATAGTAGAACTTTAGACTCATCCCCGTCTCCCCTTCCCCACAGACCGTGACAGGTATTAGCCAAAGGTCACTACAAACCGTATATCAAAAATGTCTCGTTCTAACATTTGAGCTACTTTCTTATCTCATATCAGGAGCATTAAATAAAAGAATGGTGAAGAGATATGTCCAAAAACAGATAGAATAAAACAATCCTCTTTGATTAGCAACGGCAGCTACATCGTGTTTCACATTTTAATCTCACAGGAATTGCGCTAACTGTCTTTTTTTCTCTAGAAAGAACGTTTGTTTTTACTTAAAAGATGTTATGGCAACAAACGACTTAATTCCGAACAAGATCTTGATATAATATTAAAAAGTTTAATAGGTGATTATTTTAAATCAATATATACTCATTCAGACACTAACCTCTGGGAACAAATAAAAGCATGGTGTCCCTGTTTAGTGGAAGCTCGTGTCGCGGATAGTCGTGCGGTTCCAAATACAGATTATAATGACAGTGATTCTGAAGTACCTGATCCAGAAGAAGCTCAAAAAGATGGTCGAGAACTTGTTTTTCGTGATTTATTTTTGTGGTCGATATTAACAAATCGTATTGAAATGTCCAAAGTTATATTAAGTCATATGCAAACACGTACATGTGCTGCATTAATAGCATCAAAAATATTTAAATCATATGAAGACTATGCTTATGATAATGAATCAAAGGATGTTTTACATGGTCAAGCTGAAGAATTTGAAGAATATGCAAATCAATCTTTAAAATGTTGTTATAATCTTGATGAAGAAAAGGCATGTGAAATTGCTATTCGACGTATCAAACTATTAGGTGGTGTTTCATGTCTTCAAGTGAGATTTAATATCAAGAAATAAAAACAAAACATAATTTTTTCTATTTTCTATTTTAAGGTAGCTGTTGATGCTGATGATAAAACTTTTGTTGGTCAACCATGTTGTGATCAACTTTTAAATAGTATTTGGTATGATAAAATAGAACCGTCTCAATTCACATTACTTCAACGCTTCGGATTATTAATAAGTATTTGTACATTTGGTTTATTAGCACCATTTTGTGTTTCATTCCGTGAAGACAAATCAGCTCCTATTTCTTTTGATAATGATAGAAAAAAGAGATATGACATGACTGTTAATGAAACAGAACAAGATACAAAACCATTATTATCAAAAACAAAAGAAAGGTAAATATTTCCTTATGATAATAATGAATTAGAATACTTTGATAATTTTATTTTCCTTGAACAAAAGTCAACTATAAATTTTTAGATGACTTTTGACTATAGAAAAAAAATAGATGTAGGCTTCTAGCGAGAGACCAGAGATGTCCATCGCGGTGCTGCCGCGGTAGCGGTTAGCGGCGGCACCTTATTTCTGGAAGACATTGCAAAAACTGCATGAATTTGCACAAAAATTGTGTGTCCACAGATGTAACACTCTAAGACTCAATGAATCTCATCGATTAGTGACAAAAATTGTATTTCAATACATTCACAGCAATGAAATTCGAAACTTTTTTTCGAGTACCATCGCGGCAGCGCCGCTGCAAATTTTCTCTCCAATCTCCGCGGCGCGGTAGCGGCAGATTTTGAGCCGCGATGGACATCTCTGAGAGAGACTTTATCTAATATTTTATACATTATCAAGTTCTACCGTTCAATCAAACGCAAAAGCGTAAAAATCGCGTATATTTCTAGGAAATGTTGAGAAACTAGCATTTGCTTGCAAAATATTTTTTGAAGTCGTTGTATCTCATGTATGAAGATGTAAGCTATTTCAAATATTTTCAATTGTTTTACATAAATGTAAGAGTACCACATTCATGAAAATACAATTTTCTAATTTTTTAAGCAAAGCATCCCAAATCTTGCATGACTCTATCCTTGCAAATAGTTTCATGCAATGTTTTTGCATTTTTATGCAACATATATGATTCACATGGAAATACCAAAGTATTATTGGTGTATATCTACAAAATGGCTCGAATTTTACTAAATTCTGTATGTCATTGCAAAAGGATCGTATCGACGAAAACCATAATCAAAACAACTCTGCGTTGGCATGCAAAGTTTTGCCATTATGTAATTGACACGATGATCCATATAAGAATTTAGTTTTTTTCTTCAGTATGTATTTATTTATTTTCCATTACAATGAAATCGCTCTGATATGCTCACACAATATTGACTTAAAAATCTTTTTCAATTTTTCCAATTCACCCAGAGTTATTAATATTCACGTTCACATGTGTCTAGTAGTTATCAGACTATTATTATATCCNTTATTTGCAAATCCAGTAAAAGATTTGGAAGGTGGCGGGACATGGGGTCTCAAAAAAGGACAGGTATTGTCTCTTCATCGTATTTTACAATAGAGAAAACTAATATAATAATTCATGAAGTTTTTTTATTACAAAAAGAAACGAATCTCTTAGAAACATCTGAAGTTTGAATCGTTAGATAGAATTTCTCATTATTGACTACCATCATTGGCAGATTGGTGAAACATTTCATAAGGTTGATGTAAATGTTTCTTTGGGTAGACGTAAAAATTTCATGTAATAAATGTCATAAAAGAATCATTAGGCATCCACTTTTGTTCAAACTTTTATTTCACTTGTCGAAAGAAACAGTTGGCTGCTTTCGGTGAAAATTTATATATTCATTCCCAGTATGACCAATTTGTTTTTTTTGTTCTTCATCGAGAACACAAGAGAAAGTTATGCCTTCGTCAATTTTGAGTGTGTTGATTTAGTCATAAGCACACAGCATATATGACATTATTATGTCATCAATTGATATCTACTATCGCTTTCAAAAAGAAGCATCCAAAACAACAATAGATCGCATAAATCAAGTACTCTATTATTTCGTTAGAAATTAGAAACTATACATTTTATTATTATAAACGAAAAAATAATATATATAAGACTAATTGGAAGCAATAGTGACATCACACGAATTCTTGTTGTTCCAATCGATGAAAGACGACCAGGTCAAATCCATGGCTCTTTCATTGAATTGGTTTTGGGTGATGTTCTTGTGGGGCATGCTGAGTATTATTCTTACGAATGTTTACTTGTATATCTAGTCAAAATCTAGAAGAAAGAGGTACATGAGGTCTCAAAAATGTGCAAGTTTTGTTTTTTCATCGTATTCTATATTAGAGAAAATTAAAACAAAGTTTTACTAAATGAAATTTATTGAAGTTCGAAGCATCGAGGTGTGAGTCTTGTCTTTACCGAAATCCACATCTACACCATCTTGATGCGCTCTTTATGTAATTTGAACTGACATGTTTGATAAGATTTCTTTCGAAAATGAAACAACTACTTCGAATACTAGGAATCAAAACAATGTTCTGATAAGATTATCGGTAGTTCATTTCTTGCAAAAAAAGAAATCTAATCAGAATAGTGAGCACGCTTTCTTTTAATTAATATACAATGATATTGTCGAAGACTTCTTATCAACTATTATAGAAGATATAAATATTCTAGTTCACCGATGACACCTCAATGGCTCTTTGTTTGGCTATTTCATTAATAGTTCGTCGTGGTTTTGTACCTTATGATCAATTAGTTCGTTATAAATGGTGGCTTGAGTCTGGATATATGTCATCCACTGGACGTTGTTTTGACATCGGTGCAGCTACTTCTCAGTCACTACATGAATTCATGCGTCGTCAAACAATATTTGCCAAAAAACATCATATTCCTATTGAAAAACTAGATTATCTTTCAGATCATGATCATCTCCGAATGTTTCAAGTACACTGCAGTACGTCTGGTGTCGCTGGTAATGGTGCACTCATGCGTCTTGCACCTGTACCACTTTTTTTCCATAATTATCCAAAAGATGCTATAGAATTCTCTGGCTACAGTGGACAGATTACTCATGGTGATACAAAAGCGTACGATGCATGTCGATACTATGGAGCTCTGATTTGCGCCACACTTCATGACTATACAAAAAAACAATTACTTGACGAAGACTTTTACAATAAACACAAGGAATGGTTTGGTGATAAGCCACTTTGTAAGGAAATTAAAAAAATTTCTGAAGGGTCTTACAAGAAAGAGGGTGGATATAAAGATGGAATTCGTGGCAAAGGTTATATAGTCAATGCTCTTGAAGCTGCCCTATGGGCATTTTGGTCTGATAATAACTCTTTTGAGAAAGGTGTACTTGCTGCTGTGAATCTCGGTGATGATACTGATACAACGGCTGCCATTTATGGTCAATTAGCTGGTGCATACTATGGATACAAAAATATTCCTATAAAATGGGTAGAACATGTATATGCTAAGAAATTTATTTTAAACTTGAGTAGATGGATTGTATATGAAGGAGTAAACTGGAAGAAAACGGAAATACTTCTTCCATCTCCTCAATCTGCAGTTAGTACCAGTAATCCACTTTCTGTCGAACACCAAGTATTGGCTGAATATACGGGCAATGTTCCTCTTACCCAACGAAATTCAGGAAATAAGACAGTACCAATTGGAAAACAAGCTAATCGGCGTGGCATTTTAGAATTTGAGAGTAAGTTTTCTACAATAGATTCACTTAAATTATAAACATTCGTTTCAATTTTAGATTCGCATGATCATCTGAGATCAAACGCATATACAGGCTCTCAATTCAATTTGGATGATATTAAAAGTTCTAACGTCAGTGAACAGACTACAGAATTAAAATTATCACCAGTCTTCAGACCCAGTCCTTTTATTAAACGAAAACAGAATATCCGAAAATTACCAGGAAACAAAATAAATGCTGCTAATTGAGAATGCGAAGTTCTATCTATGTTGCTGTAACATTAAACTAAAGTTACATATTTCTACTAGAGACCTTCAACATCAGTGTTTCAGATCGGTCCTCAAAAACTTTTTTGGAGTCAAAATTTCACGTATTTTATAGTTTGATTAAGACATTGTTTTAAATTTAAGTATCATCGTCTTTTTTGTATAAAGAAAAAAATTACTTTTTGGCCGAGCTAATTATTTTGATAATTGTTTTAGATCTTTAGCTGCTTTTTTGTACTATGATTGCTCAGATTTAATAAAAATCAAATTTAAGAAAAATATAAAAACTTCATTTTCATATTGCATAGCTGTGATGAATTTTTATGTTCTTTTTAACAATAGTCATTTGTTTTTATTTAATGGGTGATACTAAAAAAAATGATACCGTTAATGTCGTCAGTATTTGTTCTATTTTTCTCAGTTCATTGAGAAACGTACTTTTATGACATGATTTTCTATGGCATTGTCTTAGAGTTTTATATAGTTCGATTAAATATATTTGAAAATATAAAAAATAATGCGATATAAAGATCTGTGAAAAAACGGATAGGAAAATACTTAATGACCAACAAAGATTCGTTGTGATTTGAATGCAATAGTCGTATTGACAACAATTGATTCGTAAATAATCCATAACACTTACTCTATCAATTCACTAGATGATCAATCTTGTTCTCGTACAACAATTTATACCTTGAAGGTAACATAATGGTTTAAACGAGAAGAGCGTAAGCCAGAATATTGTTTGTAGAAGGGAATAGTTTAAGAAGGAGTCGATTGCAGATTTTGGGTAAGAATCTTAGCTATTTCGCATAGTATTTCATTGAATAACATTAAAAAAAGAACGAGAAACAGAACACCGTTGTTGACTTGTAATTAATCAACGATATGGTCAAAAGTATTATAAATACAAAAGAAATATTTTTTCTGATCTTTCACTAAATCCACAACACAAGAAAATACACTTTCAACTCCATTTACGTTGCTATACTGACGCATGAACTACATGGTGTCAATGCAGATTGATTACAGTTCTTGACTTATGCTTACATTGCGGATATTCATATACAAAAAGGTTTGGTTCAATTTCACGCTATATACGTATATATAAATCAGTCGAGCTCAAAAAGGCATGTTCGTAAAAGGCCGTTTTAAATGGCTTTTATCATCGTTTGATGGACGTAGTATTACGTCCGTATTTTACTGTATTGTAATTGTTCGTATACTCGATTTTCAGGCTATCGAACGATCGTCATCTCGGCGATCGTACTCATCGTCCTGGGACGCCCTGGTTTATTATTGCGACAGTCATAAACGATCTTATATAAGCCGTAAAGTATCTTCGTGATCGAAACAGTATTTTGGAGTGTAGGTAGATGTTTGGCTATTCAAGTAAGTGCTGTTTTAGACACAGAAACGATTCACATACCCGGCCTACCCAGCAAGTATAAGCATGATACATCCAATATACACTAAATGCACATCTCCCCAGGTCAACCATTACGTAACACCATCAATTATCATATCATTACTGTAAAAAACCGTTTTTACGCTGTCTGATATTGTTATCATGTATCTAGTATTACTGATCGTAAACAATACCGTATTCTCATTGTAAAATGTCGTGAAGATGTCGTAGTGCTGTCGTATTTTTGGTCCTGTATTTACGAAGAAATACGGTCCGTTGATGTGTGACATATTTTACTATAAACGGCTGTATTTGTTGACTACAGTAATTTGATTTATATTTTTTTTTCCACAGTGATATGCGATAAAATCTCATAAGAAAGTGAATTTTTCATTCAGTCTATATATTCATGGCAATCTGTCTTATGCTTCAAGTATATATCTTCTATGTAATTCAAGTTGATGAAATTTATACAATGTCATGAATCAAAATTGTTTCATTGAAATAGCACAATCATCAACAAAATATGATTACGTTAAAGTTAAAATTTTCAAATAAATATTCATTAAATGGTGTGAAAATTTTGAATTTTCACTTTGCTTTACTTACAATCAGTAAAATATGTCAGTTTTGATATTGAAAGAAGTTGAAAAAATTAACAATGCAGATCCTATTCATTTGTTTTGAAATTAGAGAATTTTTTTTCTAAATGGATTCTTATCGGTCGTATACAGAATATCAATTATATTTACTTTTTTATAATTTATACGGTCATTCTAGAATTTATACTTTTTCTTCAAATACTCTACCAATTTTAGGTATGGATGATGTAAACACAGAAATAAAATTTTTCTCGAATAGTTCACGTTCTCCAGACAACATATTTATTGAAATAAAAGAATTTTTTTTTTTTTTCAATAACATCTTTAAATGTTAGTATAACCTACTGCGTATAGCTCAAGGTGTACATTACTTGCTTGATTATCTGTAATGACATTAAGTTCAGGCTTCGATGAACAATAGAAAAATTCAAGTGTTTCCAAATCAAATGAATAAGCACTTTGATAGTAACGATAGCCACGTTTGAATTTTGTATCTTTAATACCGGATTCAGAACATTCAGTCCATAACCAAACATTAAAAGCAGCTTCACCAGAAGTCATTCCACTTCGAATGAAGACAGTCACGCTAATCTTTCGTGCTGTAGACGGAATTATGGTGTTAAGTGGAAATTTAACTTGTTCAAGAGTATTGAATTGAAATATAGCAAGTAAATATGAAACAATTTTAGGACTTACAAGACTGACAAAGGAAGAAAATTCTAATATTAACAAAGATGATAAATAGATATTTATTGTTAGAATATTGACTTACGTGTGCCATTGTTAGCCGTAGTATGAGCAACAAGAAGAGTTAGCAGAAAAGTAACGATCTTCTTCATCTTTTGCCAAAATTACAATGAATGTGTACCTCTTTTGAATGAAATCCTATTAGTATGTATTCTTATTGAATTAGTTGCCTCTTTAAATGACGAAAAGATATGGGTCATATATGTGCAAATAAAAATGCAATCAGCGAGTACATGATCATGATCTATCAAAACTGTACTGAAGCCATTATATCTGATTTTTCATGAAGCTTAGATTATTTTTTTATAGAAGAAATTGACCTTAATCGATAAAAAGAACTGAGAGCAATTTTCGAGTCAAAACTCTATTTCGTCTTCTTAAACTTCATTTTATTAATCAATTTTCATTTTTTTCATATTCTATAAAAAATAAGGACAGAAATCGAATAGTTTCAATGAGATCTACGATTCGTTTTTTGGATATTTCTTGAGTGTTATTATAAGCTTAAAACAACTTTAAAGTAATTGAATTAATAATAAATTTTCTTATCAATGTAAAGATAATCACAAGATTAAAATGATGATCAATTCGGCACACATTTGAATCCTATTTTAATAACTGTTAGATAGAGTCAATCTTCTAGGTTAAATATGCAGAATTCTTTAACTAAATAAGCCTAAAACATAATTAGAAAAGAATATAGAAGTCTGTTTACGACACAAACATTAAAAACAATTATTCTCTTCTAATGTTAATAGAATGATCAAAACCACTCTGTTTAAATATCCTTATGAAACAACTTCTTAATGATCTTTTCCATAAAAACATATTACAACTTTAGATGCGCATTGACATATTAAATTTCAGAAAAATTTACGTGGAGCAAATTTTTCAAAAACAACATTTTATATATCGCTTATTTTATAAGATAAAACAGTGTTTACATTATTTGATTCAATAGATTGATTGACATTTGAACCATTTCAAAAAAGAATGTTGATGTTTGTTATTTGAATAATTTCTGATAGGGGCAACGGAAAAATTTAGGGTTTTAGCTCTTAGCGGACATTTTGACAACGAGATTCTGATGTCATGTTTCATTAGAGATTGATGTGTAATATGATCAATCTCTAGAAAACACTCTTATGCCTTGATCTACGTGAACCTCTATTTCATAATCGTTTGCATTCATGAGTTGTAAGGATTTTCCTGAGACTGCCAGATTTCAACAGATTAGCCTTGGAAAACTCTGTAAGGACTTCATATAGGTGGAACTCATCACGCTGAGTCGAATAGTGATATGTGATTTCATTTTCAAAGCAATCACAGATCATTATTCGTATCTTGTTAAAACTTTGATTGTTATGCTGCTGAGTAGGGAACATTTTTGAAAGTCGAAAGATACTGAAATAGTAGTCTCGCATTGCTTTGAAACTAGAAATCGACATCATCATTTGGATCAGTGTGATTGATTACCATTGTATACAGTTCTTTTGGAACCTTCCAAAGTAAATTTACTGAAAACGAGAGTCTCAGGAAAACGTTTGTAACTCTTGAATGGAAATCGTTAAGAGGCTGAGGTCTTTTTAGATTGTCAGAGAAGACTTTTCTCTATCGATTAGCCATATTAAATGGTACAATCTAATGGAAAATAACTTCAGAATTTCGTTTGTAAAATCTTCGCTCAGAATTTCTCTAATTGGTCAATTGTTGACCAATCACATTTCGACTTACTGTGACGGTTCAGGATGTTCTCTCTTAAATGGCGAAAAGTTAATCATTCTTCGTCATTCCTATCAAAATCTATTCAAAGAACAAACATTGACACTTGTTTTTTTGAAATGAATAATAGAGTGTATTTATTTTTTTAAGTTCATTAAAATGATCAATGACAATTTTGTGTATTCTTCTGGAATATATTTTATTTTTCTTGAATCATAGAAAAGCAATCATATTTGACAGAATAATTTTCTTAGTGTTGCTTGTGTGATTAATCACATTATTCTACTAAAGTTTATATTAACATCTCATTGTAATTCGCATTACGTATAGTGTTATTCGTTTCGTACTCTGATAAAATGTAGTGATGATAACTACTCGACAACACCATATATGCAAGCCAAAAGCAATCGTAGTTATGATCAAAAACGTAAGAAAGAGTCCACCCAAAACATCAAGTGAGAATGTTTCACTTTTCGAACCATCAACATGATTTGAACTACTTGATAATGATGAACATGCTCGATGTTTAAGCCACAAATTTTCTAATGATTCTAATCTTTCTGATTCACGGAGAGCCAAAATATGAACATCTAAATCTCTCTTATATAGCCAATTTTTAGGTAACACAATACCAAATGATGATTTAACAAAACCAACACCAGTTACAATTAATTTATCACAAAAATAATTGTTAACAGCATATTCAATTACAGATGAATCCCATATGGATGCATCAATTGTATGATCCTGTAATTTTAAGTACATCTCTTCGGCTGAAGAAAGAGGATAATATGTTGAAGAAATATTTTGTATATAATAATCTGATGCAGCTGAATTAGTGACAATACCAATACGCGAAAAAGGTACACGACCATTTTTTATATCATCAATACCAGAAATAGACGGTTGAGCACGACTTAACGTAAGAGAAGATGACAGATTAGCGGTGTATGTTGCAACAAGAATAACACCTAATCCATATAAACCTAAAACTGTTAATCGACTTGAAGCTGTTGTTAGACGTACGTCACCACTCATGATTAAAATACTAGTTAATGTGCGACATATACCAATTACAATAGATTTTAATTCAGATTCAGATCGACTATTCTCATTTTTTATATTTTGATGTTCAAAAAGATAAACAATGATTCCCGAATAAATCATAATTGAGAAAATAGCTGCCCATACATCCCAAGTAAATGGATTAAAATATAAGAAAAGACTAACTGATGAAGAAAATGGATTTTGTCGAGTTATTATTCGAAATGTATTTTCATGAAATGGTGTTGAAAAATCAACTGTTAAAAGACGACCTGAAGTGATTCTGATATCAGATAAAGCAATGTCATATTGACGATTATCACTTGCTACTGATGCAACAAGAGAATGATAGTTTGTTGATAGATCAGCTACATCAATAGTGTAACTAAAATGCATTTTCTGTTGAAGTTCACGAATTAAATCAGCAACAATTCCATAAATAAAAATATTTGGTTTTTTAGTTTTTAAAGGATCAATGCGAAAACCAACCTGCTCACCAAGATTAATATTGTTCCAGGATTGACCTTGAGCCGAAATATTGTGCACTATAACGAATGGAGGTGCTTCGATGACAAGAATTCGCAAATGTACACCTAAATATATATTCAATGTAAATCATATCGTGCCTTAAAAAGATATATATTTGATTTTGTTTTCTTTTTAAATCGAAAGGCAAAAAATAATAGTCAAGAGTATTGAGGAGAAACTATATTAATTAGCAAATTCCAACAAGAATCTCATGAAAAATTGGAAATTTTTTTCCAACTCTGAAAACATTGTAATATGAAAGTACCTCAGCAGTATACAACTAATTCGATGTCAGTTCATGAAGATCTCATCCTTTTGCTGAACAAGAATCTTTAGAAAAATTAGAACTCTAGTAGTCTCTTTCGAAATAATAAACAATGAAATTTAAATAACATATAATATTTCAATAACATTTTTCAATAAAAAACAATTCCATTCAGGATAGATTTATTATATCGTAATCTTATCTTAATTCAAATAAATGGATATAATGTTTATATCTTTCTAATTGAAATATGAATGATATTCTTTAGAACTTCAAAATGAAGCTTGGGATAAAATGTTAGAAGGGGGTGTGAGGAGGTGCACACTCTCTAAATAATCGAAAATTATTTATTACTAGTCAACAAACTTGATAAATGTTTTTGGAATTTTTAAAGTTCACCTTTGAGATTTTTTTTGCTAATATCTTCCAGGAAAGTCCCAAGCCGGAAGAAAAGTCGGAAGATGATCCTTTTCAAATAATGAGAAACTGTCTTCGGGGTGTCGATGGGAAATATGAAGTAATGTGGCAAGTTGAAGAAATCAGCTGTGTTTTTAATTGACATCCAATCTCAAACGATGGTTTTTGCTAGAAAATTTTGAAGGGATGTTAAAATGTTTTGCCTCGTGAAAAAGTAATGACACGAGTGCACTCAATTTAAAAATATCTGTGATTTTTCTGTTTCCATAACCATTTTCTTACTGTCTTCTATCTGAAGAGCTTTATTTTTGAAAAGTCGTCACTAGCGTGGTCGTCTTCGGTGTCAAAATTTCTAAAACCTATCGCAACACTTTTTTCTTTCGAAAAAAACATAAGGAAAAGAGGAGTTTTTCATGAGTCTGAAAAACGTATTCGCTCCACGAAAAGTAACAACTGCGTAAGCACACTTTACTCAAAACAACTTCCTACTTTAGTCAATGTTCCCTTTGAAACGGTCTAAATTAGAACAATCGTCGTTAACGTGATCGCCTAAGATGACAAAAGTATCGAGAAATTTTCTTATATGAGACACGGTTTCTCTTCTTGAAAATTTTCTAGAGAAGATGAATTTTTTATAAAAGTCGCAAAAAGTTTTCACTTCGCGCAAAATTGCTACATTTCAGGTTAAGCGAGAAAGATTAATATCAAATCTGATGAAGAAAGAATTTTACGTTCTCTAATCTTGGCGGGAAAGTGGTAAAATGTCGAAAAAAAATGTCGAAAAACAAAATGTTGAAAATTATAAACCTTTATAAATCCTTATAAATTCTTGGTGAAAAACTTTTTCTAAGATTTTATCAATGAAATGTAATACGATACACATGCACACAGCACAACAGTGAGAGTGCGAGAGAAAGCTGTGCCCTAAAAGGATTTCGGTTTTCGATATTCTGCCTTTCGACGCTTTCACCTTCGACCTTTATCCACCAAACTATCTTGGCTACTTCGGAACTCTCCTCACTCGAACCCAATCCTGGGATCTTNTGAAAAATATTATTGAAATGTTATATGTTATTTAAATTTCATTGTTTGTTATTTCGAAAGAGACTACTAGAGTTCTAATTTTTCTAAAGATTCTTGTTCAGCAAAAGGATAAGATCTTCATGAACTGACATCAAGGTAGTTGTATATTGCTGAGGTTCTTTCATATTACAATGTTTCCAGAATGGAAAAAAAATTGACGAGTTTTAATCAAGTTCTTTGATTTTAGACAAAAGTTTTTAATTCAATTTCACTGATAATTAAAGAAAAATACTGTTTTTCCGATCAATAAATCTTTTTTTCAAATATTATCCTATTATTTATCTCAAGCGATTAGATTTGCTTTTAACCAGTATGAACTTTTATAATGTATCGAAATTTCTTGTTTTTCTCTTCACTGTCAATATTCTTCGTGCTTATTCTTTCTATTTCTCAACTGATAATACTTGTTTTTTCAATTAAGTTTTTCCGAACCTCGAAGTTGTGGATAATCAGTAGGCACTTTTTCAGATTCATTGCTGGGCCAGATGATATTAATATTGTTTTGGTCAGTACAATTTGCCCAATTACGATTTGTTTCATGCCATGTCATTATTTGTTTATAGTTTGGTACTCGTTTTACTTTATCAGGTTTCTGATTTATATCTTGCACATTGTAGAGAGCATACATGGCACCATGGACATGTTCACGTAAATTATTGCTCGAAAACTGAATAATTCCTGACACGCCGAAAAAACAAGTATTTTTCAGATACATAAGATACTTAGTATGATTCTCTAATAAACTATCAAAGCATGTAGATGATTTCTTCATTGACGGTGATTCGTTGTCAAGCAATGATTTATTTAATGCTTGAATCAAAGCCCAAGCAGCGTCAAATGTATACATGGCAAATGGACTAACAGCAGATAATCGATCTGGAACTTTGATTTTATCACTTGATAAATTACGCCATGTATCGAAAGCTTCTTTTTGTAATGTTTCATTAATACCAAAGGCACTATTATTACCTATGAGAGGTACTACAGCAAGAATACCTTTTAACTTAAACCAATCATTTTGTTTGAATGTATGGAAATCAATCTGAAAATATTGTTGGTACAATATAAATCAAAACGAATTCATTAAATAATGATCATCGAAAGGTATAAAGAAGTCGTTAGTATCGTCCCGAATGGATATCTATGTCTCTTTAGATTTTGTTTTAATGATAGAATTTAATTTCTTTCAGAAAATGAATGGATTTTTCAAATTAAAATATCTTCAAATTTACCTTGTTTGTCATTACCCATACATAGTTTCTACCGAGAAGTTCTTCTGCAAGTGCACGTTGAGTAATTCTTGTAGTTGAACTTTGATTAGCCCAAACTAATACAATACGAGATCGGCTTTTTTCTAATGTTTGCTTTAAATCAACGTGAAATCTATCAGACTGTGGATCAAATATTAATCGATCTTGAATTGACAAATTTAAATAATAAAGTTCTGATAATATTTTCAATCCACCATAACCATAATCATCTTTTCCAATAATTATTGTACAAGTTGTCCATGAAAAATATTTAAACAATTGCACAACAGCTTGAGCTAGAAGAGTATCTGAAGGTATAGTACGATAAAATGTTTGATAGGTAAATGTATCGTCAAGATCAGCATTAGTTGCAGCATAAGAAACAAGTGGCAAACGTATGCGTGCAGCAAATGGGCCAAGATAACGTGCATTAGTTGAACTTGATGGTCCGACAACACCTACAACATCAGGTTCTGTTTGATTAGTAATTGATCGACAGACAAGTTCAAGTTCCGTATAACCATTGGAATTGGTGTTTGTCTGAAGAATAGTATAATTAATGGGACGGCCATCCACATAGACTTTGTAGCGATTAGCAAGAACTATAGCTGCACGAAACATTTCCATGCATTGAGTTGTCCAATGATAACTTGGATTAGCGTCCATAGAATTAGAAGTTGCATTCGGATATTCAGGAAAAAGGCCAAGAATTCGAATCGTATTCAAAGAATCGATAGATAAGATAAAGCCGACAAGTAAAGAGAGAAAGCGAAACATTACTATCTCAACAGAATAGAATCGAATAATACGATATGAAAGAATTCTTAGAGATATTTATATGAATTATGAATGTTGTTTTTTCTTTATTTTTTGAACAGATGGAAGCTTTTTTGTGAAAATGAAAAAATCATGATTTATATGATGACAAGAAAAACAAAATATTAGCAATGAACTTTTCTCTCTTATCTCTTTTATGATTTATTGCTTGGAATTATTTTCAATCACACATTGTCAGACATTATGAGAAATATTATTTTTAATATACTTGTGTATTCAAATTATCTTTGTTGGAGAGATTTTTGAAAAATATTTTAGAGTAAAACTAACTGACAAAAATTCATATACTTCTTTAGACTTATATGAATATTTTCTACTTAAAAGAAGTGATATCTGCTGATTGTAATTCTAGATGAGTTTCTTATGTCTTTTGGAAAACAATAGTAATTTAATCAATTGTAAATTGACGTCATCTTAATGATAACTTTTTTATCACTGATAATTCAGTGAGAAGTGCAACATTTTTCAAATAAAACAATTGACGAATATTTTATGAAAATAAATAGTTCTTTTTTCTAATAAAATTATCAATAACATATGTTTCTTAAATACATACTCATATAATCACATTCAACATTTGTTTATTATTGTCAGACGGAAATAGAAAACAAGCTGAAATATATTTCTTTTTTTAGCTAGTATCTGTTGATATAGCTATTCTCAAAAAAAGATAGAATAAAATTATTAATGTCATGTTAAAAAGATTTCTCTTATAATAAAACCAATATGGAATACGTAAATAAATTTTATTTTATTTTTTTACACAAATAAAAATTTAATATTCATGTTTGAAACATTGTTATTGTTTTAATTTCTTCTTGATTGTTTCGTCGATTAATGTCAAAGCTGTTAATGCATCAAGAGCAATTTCTATTGTTTGTCCTTTACCTTTATTTTTGTAATCAAAACTAATTATCGAATGTTCTTCTAATGGATTAATGCGAATAAAATCAGTTGTCCATCTTGAATCAGTGAATATTGCTTCACTTTCTTCTCTAACTGTTGGAACAGCTGTACCAGCTCCTAACTCAATAATTAATAATCTGGCTTTTGTTTTAGTAATATCAGATTTAAATTTTTCGTAATGTTCGATTTGTTTATTTAATCGGTTGTCTAAAAATTGCCAATCGCCAAACATGTATACATTTGGTCGTGCTAACTTCTTACAATAAGGACATTGAGGTAAAGGATCGATAGCACAATCTGTTTTTGGATCTACATTCAGTTTCAATGAATTGTTAGTATCCCATATATTTTTACCGCATTTATCAATACATTGCATATAATGAACGGAACCATGACATTCAAGAACTGCTAATTCATTCCAACCTGAGTTTATCCAATGACCATCAATATTACTAGTAAAACTAAATGAAAATTTAACATGATTCATTTCACTCCATCGTTTAGCAATTTCATAGCCAAGATGTGGAGCAGCTGATGTGTAAGCATTGTATCTATATGCCCAAAAAGCATAACCAAAATTAGCTGTATTATGCTTATCACTATTACCTTGTGGCTTTGTAAACCATTGTGGATTACTCATATCAGTAAAATCTAATTCTGGATGCTTTAATAAAGGTGGCCAAACACCAGCTGCAACACCTCGAAATGTACCAAGTCCACTACTTACGCCCATTCCAGCACCACTAGTAAATAGAATAGCTTCACAGTTAAGTACTAAATCAGCTGCCTTTTCAATAAGTGATTGTAGTTCAGCATTTGTTGTCTGTTGAACATCCGTTTTGATATCTTGTGATAGATTTGTTGCTGCCATAATATAGATATATTTAATATCTGAAAAGCATCAAAGAACAAGCAATGAATACTAATCAACATATCACACGATGCAATAAGTAAAAGAAGAAAAACTCTCGATCCAATATGCTGCAAAAATAATTATAATAGAAGTAAGAATTGGAATAGTACAATTACTTTGTTTTTAATTTCAAACAGAAAAAAGAAGAAAAAAAAATTATTTTTTCTGTTTCTTGTTTTTAGACAAATAAAAAAAAACCACCTCTTCTGATTAGATGACTAGAAACAACTTTATTCAAAGCGAAAAGTTCAAAAATAAATGAAAGAAAGCAAAACAATTTATTTCACTTTCCACTCTTTTTAAGAAAAAAGGAAGCGCCACCCTGGACGATAACCTGTGAATAATTGTAACTCGAAACAGAGCTTCGGTTTTCACTTTTAGAAAGAGGAAATGAACACGTATCGAATCGTGTATTACAAGTTTTTTCGACCTGATTTTTTTTAAGGTATTCAATCGACCTTTTTGAAAATCAATGCATACTGGGAGATGATTATGGTGAATTTTCAATTATCAAATATTCATTCGAACAGTCAATAAGTGATATACAACACTACACAAGCCTCAGATTTTTAGATTTAGTTATTCAGGATTCATTAGTACTCTCGTCAAAAATTTGCAGCTAATTTTTCAAGTAATTGCTGTACAAAGAAAAACATCACATTTTTGCTTTTTGTGACTATGTTAAAAGAAACCATTTTTGCGAAACTTTTTGAAAAATAAGTTTGATTAAAAAAAAGTTCAGAGGAAACCGTATAAGAATCTTTAGTATATGCCTCGAAGGGACTCCATGTTCTTTTTTCAATGGTGAGAACCGCAGCGCTCTGCCTTGTTTTTTTTCAAAAAGTTATTAATAAAAATACTCATCTAACTTTTTTTTTCGAAATGGGTGTTTACATACGTATCAAAAAAGATATACGTACGTTGAAATCGTTCTACTTCCTTTTCTAGATTCATAGCAGTTAATTAATCATTTGTAGAATAAATAATAGTGCAAATATAGACTTTATTATTCAATAAAAAAATGCTGTTTGCATACATGTACAAAATAACTCTTTCGCCGCTCACAGTAACATAAAGTATATATAATTATTAACTGATACTTGATTTAATTACAGTGCTTTGTCCTTGCCTACTAAAAATCATACAAAAGCTAAAACTAAAGACAAAATATATTGATCGTCACGATATAGACTTCATATTCTCTCTTTTGAAAAACTATTCAATGAATAAAATAGTAAATGTACCAATAAAAAAGATGACCATTGAAGTCAGGTATTATGCAATAACATGACTGTCTTGATTAGTTCGTTCGAAAATGCTCAGAAAAATCCATTGACAACAGTATATCTGAAATTAGACGCAAAAATATTTTTTAATTAAATCCCAAAAAACATGTTAGCTTTCAAAAATAAAATATTAATACAAAACAAACTTATAGAAAAAAAAATCTACAATAAGAATGCATAGGATTTTAATCACAGCTAAATTCATTCGTCAGTTTGTTTTAGATCTAACGAAATAAGCAGATTAAAAATGAAATAAAACAAATTAAATAATCTTACCATTCGTTGTTACTGCTGATCTTAGTTTTGGTTTCGGTTCTTTAGACATTTTAACACGTTCCATAGCATCCATCATCCATTGCATACATCTGTTCATCTATAACAAATAAAAAGAAAAAAAAACATTAAATCTATCTTTAAAAGTATTTTATTTCATCTAACTTCTTCAGCATATGTACGAAGGTCTCCAATAACTCGTTTAATTGATGCCATTTCATCATTAATTGCTTTTAAATCTATATTCGATGGTGATTGTGAAGCATTAATTGTATCTAATGTTGTTGGTGGAACTTCTTGACGTGCTATTGATGGTATAAGAGTAGCCGCTGATGATGGTTGGCCAGAAACTATTGTTCGAGCATAAAGATTTGTTGCATAACTTTCAAATTCTGACCACTCTTTATCTATTTCACGATTAGCACCGATCATTTCTAAAAAAAAACAAGGTAAAATTGAAATTACTTTTGTTTTTTTTTTCTTATATCAATTTACTAAATATCTTTGCGTGACTTTTTTTCATATTTGAATTATTTCTTTTTGAGCAACGTCGTTTCAAAAATTTAATAAGTTCAATAGAATGCGTTATAATAATAAATGGAGGAAAAAGTGGTGGTCGATCAAAATATTCACGAATTAATGAATATCGTTCATAGCGCCAAACAAGATCAGTTTGATCTTGAACTGTTTGAAATGTATAACTAAAATCAAATACATTTATTTTATATCTTAAAAAAGCTAAAATAACACATACCTAAACATAGCAATAAGAAGATTGATAAGAAGAATGTTAACAAATAACATATGAAATGCTAATAAAACTTGAGTAGCAATAGACGTACTAAGGTCAGGATTTTCTATTAAACAAAAAAATAAATCAATATAAAATTTGTCATCAAAATAAAATAAAACTATACGATCAAGTGCTGTTAATTCGTTATCTGTGGATCCATACATGAGATAATAAGTCGGATAAACAATATGTCGAAAAACTGATCGACCATCAAATTCTAAATCATCAGTATTGTTATCTGCATTATAATTATACATAGATCGAGAAGTAACACCATATGCAATCATTGCAATTAAAATAATATATGTAAAGAAAGATAAATCAATCAGCTAAAAAAATAAATTAAAACAATAAAATAATATGTTTTTAACATACCATTTTTCGTATCATAACAAGTTTTGGTCCCATTTTTCGTGCAACACCAAGAAAAGTTAATGATCGAATATACCAAATCTCAAGATCATAGGCAAGAATTATTTTAGAAACTGATAGATCTTCATCAGTAGATGCATATGTAAAACGAAGAATAAGACCAATATAAAAAAGTATATATGATGCAATACGAATTAAGCTGACAAACAAATTTTTTATAAAATAATTAGAAAATTTTCCCATCATTGAACGACTATCTTGACGAAGGAACTATAAATAAAAGAAAAATACATGAGAAAAGAAATATTTTTCTAATAATTTACTTGTCGAATATCTTCAAAAAGCATTGTTGTTACAATAATAATAACTAAAATTTCTGTCCAATGTATACTTGGAGTTTCATTTGTTGGACTTTTAAAATTGAATAATAAATAATAAGAAAATAGTAAGAGAAAAAATATATAACCAGCAGAATTATACGAAAATTTTACAAATGGTGATTCATGAAATTGTTTTAAACGACGAAAATAATTAAAACATCCTTGTGAACAACAATCTGGTGACGATGCATAAATATCAGAATAATTAATACCATAATTATTTAATCTAAATACAAATATTCAAGATTGAAATCACATAATAAACAGTCATATCATGTATCCAAACAGAAATTAGAGATACAAAAGAAGTTATTGAGATGAAGAATGATGGAATATAACGAGTAGTCTTCGAAAAATATGAAAATTTACTTGTTTCTATAAAGTAAAGGCGTTATAGGACTGTCACTACACAACAGGATACATGTAGACTTGCAGAGAAAGACATTCTCTATCAACATATTAACAGTACGCACTCAATAAAATGTGAAAGCTTATAAAATGCGTGTAGACGTAGCATTCTTATTATGTGTACATATCTAAATCGTTATGGCATAGTATGCGTGGTAGCGCATCACTGAGTAAACTATATTTGCGTTTACATACATGAAGCTTTGCGCATGTACACATTCAATACTGTCATCGCACACAAGACAAGCGGAAAAAACGAGACTTTAGTACTCCGAAGTACGGTAGGTTACTTGTACTTAGTGATGGGCCGAAACAACTTCGAATATCGCGAAATGATATTTTAATTATAGCGAACGAAGGAAAGAAAGAAAAAAAGCACTACGTTATATGCCGTCAATTTTTTCTGTTCTCCCGGATATAGGTAAGTTAATATGTGTTTCTTCCTTCTCGTAAGACGTTCAGATGCGATATCACGTAATAACCATTGAATACAAAGGATAAACCAAACGACTATAACAAGATATAGATTTATTACGTCTGACACGGAATAACGTAATAATCGCTTTTAATGTAATGAAAAAACTTTTGATTGAATATTTCAATCTATACATTCAAAAATTAGCGAGAATTACGGGCATTCTCGGAGCTGGGCAAGTCAAGTAAAATGAGACTTGACTTGACTTGACGTGGGAAAAATTTTTTCTGATCTTCTGACTAGTTTCTAATTTCCATCACATTAATCGTCTAAAGAGTACGATTTTTCGAATTTTTAATGCAGAGAAATGATACGATAATTTATCAATAAATTAATTACTAAGTAAACTAATTCATCAATTATTTATCTATTTATCAGACACAAAAAAATAATGTAAATTTTAACCTCAGTCAAAAGATCACTTTCAATATTGAAATGACTCATAAGAAATTTACAGATAATGTATAAAACAATTTGTTTTTCTTTCTCTTTTTTGTTTCCGTCTGTTCTGCATATTCCACTTCGACAACATTTTGATTTCGTCTAAGTGGAATATTCAGAACAGACAGAAATAAAAAAAGAAAGAAAAGAAATTGTTATATATATTATCTGTAATCAATAGGATGGATTATTACACTAGAACATACTAAATATATTAAGAGGGTAATTATNACAAAAAAAATCTTCAAGAAAATTTATTTCGAGATAAGAAAACAATTTCAAAAATCGTTTCTTTCGTCTTGTTCTCATATTCGACATATATGATAACGTGTGAGGCGACGTAAGACGTTCATTACGCCGTCTATTATATACTTGTTGTTTCGTTCTGCCGTAGCTTTTACAATTATATTCGTCTATATCACGACTTTCTTTTTCTGTTCTGTCGCGATTGACGACGATATGAAAATGAACGTATTACGCTTCTTACGGCCCATCACTACTTGTACTTCATTGTACTGCAAAGTACTGAAGTTTCGTTGTTTTACCACTTGATGTGAGAATATATCAACGTGTTTGTAGAGGATATACGTGTCTGGATGCAAGATAATATTAGAATGGCTAAAGATCGAAGCACATGTAGTAAACTTACATGAATACACAGAAGATTTTTCCAGAGATCAGACTTCAATACATTTACTTTGCTTTATAAGACGAACTTTATCATTCGGTCATCTACTTACATCAGAAGTCCAATGAAAACTGATGGATATAATAATAGTCTGATAACTACTAGACACATGTGAACGTGAATATTAATAACTCTGGGTGAATTGGAAAAATTGAAAAAGATTTTTAAGTCAATATTGTGTGAGCATACCAGAGCGATTTCATTGTAATGGAAANCTAGAGTTTTTTCTATCTGTGAAAAGTGAAATTTTTCTTGTTGAGGTCAGTAGTGATACTTAACAAAGCGTCTTCCTAGACATGTCTTTATGGATATAAACTTGATACATGCCTCTATCACTGGTAAAAAAATCAGCACGTTTGCTCGAGCCGTAATGGAGATATTCGAATTTCTTATCGCACAGTTATTTATGGACCACCCTGTATATGAATAAGACACAAAGATAATATTTAAGGACGATAACCAATAATAAAAAATACGAGAGAACCAAAAATGTTCTACATAGAAAAACGTCGAATGTATTTTAAATAATACTTGATGGTTGTATATGTATTTTGAACCAGATCTTCTAGTTTTTTATTCAAGAATTATTTCTTTCGTCTTGACAATCAATGACCTATCATCAGAATAAGAGTGAGAATAGGTGCTGGAATTTTTTCTTTACCCTTTCCTCAGCTACCCACTACGGCTACCTCTCATTTGCGAACATAAAGAAAATAAATTTAAGTGAAATAAAATTTTTAAAATTTCGTTTGATTTATATTTGATAATTTTATCAATTTTTTGTAAAACGATTAAAATTTATATTTAACTTTTAAAAATTCGATTACTGCGAACGAATATTGAAAGTAAATTGTTTTAAAAGATTTTATAAAAATTTATCTTTTTTTACGAAGCATGCTGCAATTTGTAGAGGTCGTTAGTTTCCTGACAATGCAGGAAATATGAAAAACTCTCGTTAGGTTTTAGTTGAATTAAAAGTTTTCTTTGAATCTAGCTTCGAAGAATTTTAACGGAAGTCAAAAACAGAATGTATTCTCTGGTTTTTTTCTTTTGTTATTGATAAATTAATACTCATAGTGCAAGAGCAAGGGCCGTTGATATTGGCTGAACTAAGAGCGATTATAGTTGAACACAAAGCGAGTTTTCAGAGATAGTATCATAATTTATGATGATAACTTGATATTTTTTCCGAATGTGATGTGAGCGGATCGAGCTGTGCTCGTCAGGAGAAGACTGTCATCAACAACTCTATTTCTGAGCTTTCATTTTTGAAATATCATTTTCTGTATGTTTAATTTTTGTGTATAAGTGCTTCTACACTCCAATTAGTGATCTCCACTCAATGCTCGATTCCATTCTACTGTCATAATTATACAATCTATTCAAAATCAAAAACAGCTGATGACATTTATAGTAACAATGATGTGTGGCGAACCCTATAAATTGTAGTCCAATAAGAATTAAAAAAGCAGTACTATATTTCAGCGCACTCTATAAATTTCAGCTCATTAAATTGAAATAGTGAAACTCGATATGTAGTGAACTCTATAAATTGCAGTAATTACAAAGAAAAGAAGCTCTATTGTAGTTTAGCGCTCTCTACAAATTACAGGTCATTAAAGTGAAATAATAAATGTCAATCTTTAGCTACTTCTATAAATTTCAGCAAATTTAAAAATATAGCTGAAATTTTTATTTGTTTTAAAATTGTTATCAGTAATTTTCTTGAAATTTGAAAACCGAAAATTTAAAACGTAAAATTATTTTAAATTTGAATAAATTAAATTTAAAAACCAACTGAAATTGAATTTAACAGATTTTTAATTTCGATTTTATGTTCGCAAATGAGAGGACACGACCCACTACCACTAGGTATCTTTAGCAATGATTTTCACGACAGAATAGATAATAGTCAATATATATTGAACTATTGCGCTCAAGAGGAGTATACCTTTAAACACAGACAGTAACTATCATTGTTAGCATTTATATGTCTATTTAGCACAATTAGATTGTTACGCATATTTTGAAAATCAGCTGTAATAAATTACAATGGTATTCTTGTCCAACAGCATTATGCTTATCATAATATATGTGGTCTGTATACTGACGATAATGTGTCAACATGGAANATCTCAGTGAGAAGTTATCAGGAAACATTATTAATATATCATTTTGTAGAGAACGAAAAACTGCGTTGATCTACATTATTAGTTTTAACACTAGACTTTCAAAAGAAAAAATGATGAGTAGCAGAGTTATTTGCTGGAATACCGAAAAGTGATATATCCTCCAAGACTATTTAGTCTTTGAAAGATCTATTTTGCGTTGCATAAGAAACAAAATAAATATACAGAAATGTTCAGAATTTTATGCTCTATCTTTCTAGGCTATTGAAATTGAAATAAGAACGGTGACAGATTTCTGATCTTATCCGGCGGAGTTTTGCAATCATATGCATTTTTGTCAATGTTTCTGAACAATGAATACAATTATGGCATGAAGCAATATTATTGTTTGCTATTTAGCAAAAATAGATTATAATACATATCATGTTATTACATTTACTATTCAATTTTTGCTCATAATATAAATATTTAGCTGGATAATAATAAAAAAATGAAATTGAAATTGTTATAATTATAGTCAAAATTGATTATAATATTATTAGCAAATCGATCCAAACTTTTGAATTCTAATTGTATCATAGAATATTTTCGCTTATGAATGAAGTAAAAAAAAACGAGTTTTAACATGTTTTTTAAGCGTATTCTTTTTGATAGATTAAATGCCTCAAAATATGCAACCTATGAATGTAAGTGTTAAAGATGTGAAAAAGAAAAAGTTTATATGTTTATTTAAAAGTTGAAAAAATAAACGGACATTTTTTCATAAAGTAGTCGATTTCTTCTTTTTTACATTTTATTTAAAACAAAAACAGTCAGCGACATAAGAAAGTAATCTCGTACGATGGCCTCTCAAGAAAACACAAATCGCGCTGGCTATACCAATGAATTTGTAAGACACCTTTGTTTTCTACGATTATCTTAAGTAAATCTTTCTATTGAATTAAAATAGGGTAAAACAATCGGTGATGATGTTGACAAATGGTTTGAACATGGTGTGAAATCTGTAGGACCGTAAGTTAACATGAAATCAATAAACAATTTGTGTAGCAGAGTTTCTTTTTTTTAGAGAGGCCAACAGTGAATTTTGTACAAAGACACAAGCGCTTTATGCTATATTGTTTGTTATTGGTTTTATCATTTTGGCTACTATTATTATAGTACCTATTGTTGTTGGAAATATGACATAAAATGGAAACAGTTAATGCTATAATACTGAAATTTTAATTATAATATTTAAAGTATATACTTTTATTTATCAAATAATTATATATGTTTTAAAGAATGAAATAAAGTTTTCTTTTGCTGGTTTAGAATATTTTTATTGACTTTATATGAAACGAATTTTTAACAAAAACTTCTTTCTTTTTTTAAGTCTACATCCATAACAAATTTTATATTATAACATTAAAAGTAAAAAAGTTAGATATTAACTTCTTACAATACCGTATAATATGTGAAGTCCAGATGAGATTTAACGACTATATGTAAATTATAAATACTTTCCTGTCGTTTTTCGATTAAAAAAAAAGTCAATTTGAAGTTGTCTATCAAACAAGTTTCCTTCTTTAGAATTGTTGAATTTTACAAATATTTTCTACATGGTGAAACCATCTTTTTTTTTTACCTATATCGTCCGATTAGACTGAAAATTATATTAGATACTTAAAAGAATATTTGTCTGTTTTTATGTTTGATTATTTTTTGTAGAATTATTCAATTTTCAATACTGTGAGGTAACTCCTCTGATAACATACCGTAATATACATTCAAATAATGATACTTTTTGTTTTATACAATACAATTAGATAGAGATCATCAATGAGATACGATGACATTATGTGAAAACAGATAGTTTTCTAAATTAATTGGTTTTTTTTTCCAAAATAAATCTCATCATTTTCTAGGTTCTGTCGTCTACAATAGAAGTGTATAATTTGATTGATTTTATCTTGGTCAAAAACTGAATATAGTACAATAATAGATATATTCTAAAGACTTGAGAATTCTTTTCGTTTTGATAAAATACTGAATATACTCTCTTCTACTATTAAAAGATATTAAGTGTATCTCAATCAAATATATTCATTGTAAGATAATAATCTATTAATTAAAGTCTCTCTGTAACGTAAGAGAGACTCGCCAAAAATTGCATCAATACTGAGGCAATACTAATGCGATGTAAATTATAATTTGTCAGCAAAACTGCCCTCACTAAACGTTCATTGAACAGCTATGCTCCCCAAGACAAGGACTAAAGATTTTTCAATTCTTATCTTTTTCAAATATATATTTGATTGACATACAAAATAGTGTGATGATTGTCTACTATTCCTAGACTGGATTTAAGTGACATCTACTGAAATGAGAACGAAAATATATATTTTATTTTATAATAAAATAATAAATAATTGAAAGCTCTTAGGTTTTCATTAACAATATTAGAGATTAAATAAAACTTCGATTCACTGTTCAACATCATCTCGATTCCATAATTGCTCTTCACCATTAAATAAAATGCAATAGATAAGACAACCAAAAAGAGAAACACCCGATGATATATTAAAAATTAATTTCCATGCTGATAATGTTTGCTATTAAATAATAATCAAATTAATAATAAATTTAAATTTATTTTAAATCTTACATTATTATTTGTTATCCATCCAACAAATATTGGTCCAACGAAACCAGGTATTGCAGCTAACATATTCGTTATTCCCATTAATGTACCTAATGATAGATTTTCATTTTATATGATTATTATTATTTTCATTTCAAACTAACCTGCATAATTACTTGCAATATCTAAATGTGAAATAAGACTACCAGATCCCTGAAATCCAATAAATCCAACAGATAGAGAAATAAAAATAACAGCTAAAACATGATTACATCCAATAGAACCAACTAAAACAAGAAAAAATGATGTTCCAAAAGCTCCTAAAACAGAAAAACAAATATTAAATAAAATAAATATTTGTAATATACCAATAATTGTTTGCCATCTTCTTGTAGCTGTTGTCGATAAAATTTTTCTAGCCCGTATTAGATCAGCTATATGACCTGAGACTATCGTAAAAACAAGTTGAAATAAATAAGGTATAGCAAACATAATTCCATTCTAAATTACACCAAAAGAAAAATCTTTCTTTTTATTTTCCTAAATTTTATCATAGGGAAAAAAAACTACAAACTTGTTTTAAATTAAATCGAAGAATTGTTGAAAAATAAGTTGGTAATGATGTAAGTAATATATAAAAAACAAAATTTGTGCAAATATGTTGAATTGCAATACCATAAAGTGGTACACAAGTTATAATATCATACCAAGGTGTTGGAGACTAAACTAAACTAAATAAAATTTTCATTTGTATTTCTTATAAAATCTTCACTTTTTTTGGTTTGGGTATACATCGAAGAAGATATAATTTTTCTTCATATGATATACGTGGATGTTCAGATGGAGAATTATATGCATAAAGAGCCCAACCAATAAACCATAGACATGAAAGTACACCTGAAGAAATTTGCAATTCAAAAAAAATGCCTGAATAAAGAAAAGAATTATTTACCGAAAACATAAAATGCTGATGGCCAACCACCTAAAAATGTTGACGCACACAATTGACTCACCAAGGGTGTTGTCACAACGATACCAATTTCTTTGCCTGAATTATAATTATATAAAGAGACGAGAAAAATATATATTATCAAATGTCATTTTAAGTTTTTATTTAACCTGTACTAGCAATTGGTGGAATTATACTTCTTTCTAATGGTGGAATCCAACGACCCCATAATGCTGTTGCACTTGGAAATGCAGGTGCCTAATAGAAGATTAATTTTCAATTCTATGTTATTAAATAGACTTACTTCGAAAGCACCAATTAATAATCGAATTACAATAAGTAAATTAACATCTATTCGAGCAGCAAGTGGTGTTAAAAGGGTTAGAACACCAGCAATGAAAATACTACCACCAAAAATCCATTTAGCACCAAACCGTTCGGCTAGCATTCCTAAAATAAAATGATTAACAAATAAAAACAAAAATATGAATTATTGAAAACTTTTTTACCTCCGATGACCTGAGTAAGAACATAGCCATAAAAAAAGGAACCCAATATAAAACCTTGAGTTTTGGGTGTCCAATCAAATTCTCCCTTAGACAAAAATTAATAATCAAACAATTATTATTACTTTTTTTTTCTTCTTACAGGTATAAATGGATGAAACGATGAACTATTACTATTATCAGTTGAAGGACATGCTTCTGCAGATTCATTTTTTGTACTTTGAGGAGTTGTCATGGCCACTATAATATAGATCTTAAAAATATCTTTTGAAAAAACAAATACTGATATTTACCAATAGCAACAGATAAATTTACTCTCAACGAATATAAACAAACAAAACCAAGAAATGCCCAAATGGCAACTACCTAAATAATATCAATGTGATGAAAATTTACATAGAGAAAATCATTTACTGACATATCGAGCCGGAATACCACCTAAACATAATGATATTAATGATAATAGAATATGATAAAATCTTACGTGCTTTTGATAATGATTCGATTCGATAATCGTCATCTTTATCTTCTTCATTAACAAGTAATGGTATTTGCATTCCGTCATTATTTATCAATCCATGATCTGATGAATCCATTCTCTTTTCTACTCGCATTTAATACATCAAATAAGATTATCTAAAAATAATCACACGCAAAATATTGAAGGATTCTTTATTCTCTCCGATATCTATGATATAAACTAAAATAAAATATGAAAATTTAATAGCATAAAACTTATTGATTTATATAAAACGAAAATCAAAAGTGAACAATTATTTCATGATAAAACATTTGCTGATAACTATTGAATTGTATATGATAAAGTTATTATTATGATAGTAGAAATTCAACTATACATAGAGAAGATTTATTTCAGCTGTTTTATATTTTTTTCAACTGATATTTTTAATCAAAGAAGAAACTTTATAGAATAATAGCTGCAATCAATACTTTGCAATTGAATGAAAAACAAATTGCCAATAAAATAATTGACCACCAGATTTGTTTTTAAGAGCAAAAAAAAAAGATAAAGTTTTTTTTTTCTTTTATCTTTCAAATACTTGTAGAAACTAATACGTCATCGCTCACAAAATGAAGATAAATTTTATTTTTCTTAGGAATAAATTTTGTTTTTATTAATACAATACTGATGAGACTGACGAACAGCTGAGTCGATCATTATAAAATGTGTCCTGTTGTCAAGATGCTCATGAATTGCTGATGTGAGAAGAATTTTTAAAAACCCATTATCAAAACAAAAGAAAAACAATGTAAAAGTATTTTTTTAGTTATTTTAGTTAGGTTTTTCTTTATCGATAATTATTAGTGGTGGAGGCCATAAGAAATGAACCGGCAAAAAAAAGATGGCCAAACCAACAAGATTAGTGATCGCATAATTGAAGTAAAAGAAGAGGAAAGAAAAAAAAATTGTTGTTGTTTTTGTAACTAGTAAATCGAGAAGAGAGAGATGTGCTCCGCTTTCTGATTACTTTTTTAAAAGGACTATCGTTTTGTTACTTATTGAATCATATTACTATCGCGTAAATATTAAAAAACAACATAGAGCAATGATAAAAGTAGTGTCTTCAATATTTGCTTGGATCCTTATTCACCCTATATATATTTTAACCCTTTTTAGATAAAAAATACAAAGAAAAAAAATAGAAATGAGTACAACATTAACATCGGCTATGTTAAATAATTCTTCAATTCTGACTACTACTCAATCGACTACAGAACCCTTGACAACAACTGTCGTTTATAATAATCATTTGTTTTTACATACAACTGCTTGTCAAACTATTGCTGGAGCATTTACTTGGGCAGCTATTATAATAACTGGTTATCATGTAAGAAATAAAAATAAAATACTTTTGTTTTTCTATTAAATAATTAATTATTTAGATATATCTTCATTTACGTCATTATACTGTACCATCAGAACAAAAATGGATAATTCGTTTATTATTTATAGTACCTATTTATTCATTTGTTTCATGGCTTAGTTTAGTTATGTTTAGAAATAATTCTTATTATGTTTATTTTCATGCAATTCGAGATTGTTACGAAGGTTTGTCTGTTTAATTAAGCAATGAAAAGCTTTTAATTTTCTATTAACAATATATTTAGCTTTTGTCATCTACAGCTTTCTTTCGCTTTGCTATGAGTATTTGGGTGGTGAAGGCGCAATTATGGCAGAAATTCGTGGAAAACATATCGAGTAAATTATTGAATTTTGAAAAATAAACTTTGATAATTCTTTTTTCATAGGCGAAGCTGGTGGACATGCACATGCTGCCTTTCAAATCAAGAATATACAATTGGATTTTTAAGGTTTTGCAAACAAGTAAAAAAAATTAAAAGCCAAAAAAAAAAAAAATTCTTTGATAATTTGCTCTTATTATTCTGTAGGCAACACTTCAATTTTGTTTAGTAAAGCCTTTAATGTCTCTTGTAACACTTGTTTTACAAGCATTTGATAAATATAAAGATGGAGATTTTTCAGCTACTGGTGGTTATCTTTATATAACATTAATTTATAATGTATCTGTATCGGTTGCACTTTATGGTTTATTTCTGTTTTATGAAGCAACTAAACATATTTTGGCTAAATATGATCCTGTATTGAAATTTCTTACTATTAAATCAGTGATTTTTTTGACATTTTGGCAAGGTTAATTTATTTTATTTTGTTGAAAGAAAATAGTAGAAAAAAAAAGAATTAATTTGATTTTAGGTGTTCTTTTGGCTATTTTTGAACAATTTGGTGTTATTCAAGCATTTCAAGGAAAATCAAATTTAAGTGTCGGTACTGTTGCTGCTGGTAAGTAAAATTAATTTCGAATCGGGTTAGTTTTTTTCTTTAAAATTAATTTTTATATTTATTAAAGGTTGGCAAAATTTTTTTATTTGTATTGAAATGTGTTTGGCTGCTGTGGCACTTCGTTTTGCTTTTCCGCATCAACCTTATATAGTACATGAAAATCATTTTTCGACACCATCATCAAATTCTGGACCAGGACCATCAAATGTTGGTGGAAGAATAGCAACAATGCAAAGTATTTCAAATAATCTTAAAGAAACAATGAATCCAAAAGATATTATGCATGGTAAATTAAATGATTTTATTTATCAACGATTGAATGAAATATTTATTTTAGATGCAATTCATAATTTTCATCCACAATATCGAGATTATACACAATATAGTGCACAGGTAAGATTTTTCTGTCTATTTATATTCCGAATCTATCGATCTACCTATCTACCAGGATATTCAGCTGCACACAGAATTACCTTCCGTGATTTTTCAGCTTTCTCGGGTATATTTAGGCTTTCTGGTGATAGAAACTACTCCATAATAGAATTAATGCTTTTTCTAATATGATTTGTTTTGTTTTATTTAACTTAAATTATCTATTATATAATTAATAGACTAATGATGATCGAGCCCCAACATCAACATATGGTCTAAATCAACGTTCAACTAGTACTTTATCACCATCTAATACTTCCGCACCTGTTGATACATCTTATCATGAAGGTGGAACATCAACGACCTCAACAACATTGCCTGTTCAATCTTCATCATTATCAAATTCTCAAGGTCAAAATAATATTATTAATAATTTACAAAGCAAATTAATACCAAAATCTTTAACAAAGAAGGATGCTGAAAAAGATATGTTATTAATTAATGATGACATCTAATCAAAATTTTAAAAAATATTATTTTCCATCTCTTAGATCTTCTAGTCGTATAAATTAATGATCTACTCTTTATTCCGTTGTTTTTTATGTTGTTTTTGTTTTCGTTATTGTTGTATAACCAAAAAACTCTCTTTACATTCTTCTACGCAATCAAAGCGAAGCATATATTCACACCTAATGGCAGATTTTGTTTTGATGTTGTTTATCTTTTTTTTTTGTGTTGTGACATACAACTTATTTTCTTCTCCATGTTGTTGTATACAGATATATAAAAGATTTCAACACATTAATTATTTTATATTGTATCTATTATTAGAAAAAGAACAGTCTATATGTTTAACGTATTTTTCTGTATGCATATTGTAATTTATTTGACAGAAAAGATAAAAAAAAACCAAAAAAAAAAAGGGGAATATTTAGTTCGTATTTCAGATGATGAAACTCATTTTAATTAGTATTTTGTTTATCTTTATCAATGGTGAATTGAACACGAAAAGTTTATGTACAGATCGTAATGTAACCAGTAAACCTGTTATTGATTATTGTATATCTCAAAATGGTTCATTAGAATTTCGATGTTGTTTTCTATCAGATTCGAATAATATTTTAGCTATTGATTTAACAGAAATGAATTTAAACAAAGTACCTGATTTAACGGAATTCGTCAATTTAATAAATGTAACTATGATGGATCTTCGTTCAAATCCTCAGCTTAAATCTTCAGAAAAAAATGATTTTCTTAGCATGAAATATCTTGATTATCTTTTCTTACCTGAACAATATTCATGTCCTGGTGAAAAACGTGTTTGGCAAGTTATTAATAAAACAACTGATCCTATAGGTGTTTTGTGTATGCATCAAAAAGATTTTTGTACAAATTCAACTGATATTTGTACTGAAACAAATTCATATTGTGTTCCAAATGGACCTAATCATTTTTTATGTTTATGTAAAAATGGTTATTATGGTTATAAATGTTTACGACATGGACAATTCCCAACAGGAAAATTTTTTGGTATAGCTATACCTATTACTGTGGTTTTATGTGTTTTTTTCTATTTAACACAACGACGACATGTAAAAAAAGATTGAAGTCTTACGAAATTCTTTCTTGATAAAACATGAAATACAACTGCATAGATCTGTCTTTCATATTTGAAAAGTAATTATTATTATATAAATCTATAAAAAGAATGGTATTTTTATATGGTGTAATAGGATTATTATTATTTTTTTTTTGTATTCTCGCTGTTATGATTTTTTTCTCATGTTATTGGTCTGAACAAATAAATCATATATATTACAATTACGATAGATTTACTGTATAAATTGATGTTATCAAATAAAACTTGAAGATTTGTCTCAAGTTTGCCTTTTAATTTTAAAAAAAGAAGATTATAGAGAAAACATTATCAAAAATAGATAGGTGAACAATCTTAAGCAGCTTGATATTAAACATACTTATTATTTTGTTATTTATCTTCAAGGTAAATAAGATGAAAAAGTTCTGAAGTGTAGTTTTACTTTTAGAATTATGCCACAAAAAGTTAAACGGAAGTAACCTTCAGGAAATATATGTCTTAAATAAACACCATTTGTCAATAAATATTTACCTCGACATTACTGGCAAATAAATCATCATATAAACGTTTTCTTCTTAGTACTCAAATATAACAAATGATCGATGCCGCAGATTAAATGGAATAAAATCATTTTCTTTTTTTAGCAATTCCGATGTACTTTCAGAAAATCAATCGATAGAGCATTTTTCTCTCATCTAAACTGTTTCGTTTGTTTCTTTTTAATAAACTTTCCTTGCTAGAGCCAAATTCAAAATATGAACACCTGCTCAAACGTCTAATTGCACTTTTTGATAATCTGCAGATATCTATTCATTCATGTAAATCTTTGTTCGTCAACACTAATCCAAAAAGTAACCCAATTTGCATCAACGGAGAGAAAATGTTGTGGTCTCCATGTCCATGACCTTTTCAAGACTCTTGATATTATAGTTCGGGAGAGAAAAACTTGGAGCTAAAAACCTTCTGATATTGTGCTACGCATGTTGGCAAAGAAAACATGCTTTCCAAAGAAAGATTTATTGTATGAAACAGCCATTCTCGTACTGTCGAATGTAGGACTTTATACTGAAGAAAATGGTATGACCGCTAAGTTGACGAATGCGAATTCCAGTACGACAACAGTGTTCTCGAGTTTTTATTTCATGATTATTCTCGCAAATATTTCTTCAAAAATTCTGAAACATTTTGTCAAAAGATGGAGAATTCTGTGAAGACTTTGGTATCATGTTTGACATTTCAGCAAACCGTTGTTGGAAAAGACTTGAATAATTTTAAAAAAAAATTTTTTTTTGACCGTCGTCATTGCATGATTAAATAAATAATTGTATTTTAAAAATAAAGTAAACAGATTTGCAGAGAAAAAAATCTTCTATCGAATGATTATGCAATGATATTCGGGAAAAAAATGATTTGGTCTCGTTTAATCTGCGACACTCGTTGTTCTATTCATTAACAATACTATTTATCTCACAAACTATGGAATTCTAGTAGACAAACTAATTAGATTAAAATTTAATAGACCTTGGAAAATGATATATTCATATAAAAGAAGATTCTTGTTGTATAGGATGATTTATATATTTTCACTGCTTAGCCAGATTAATACTATGACAAAAGAGTGTAGTAAACACAAAAATGCATGCGCAAAATTTTCTTCTTTCTTTCATTCAATGTTTATCTATTATGCACGATCATTTACGTATATGCCATATAAATATAACATAATGATGTACTAGATATTCTTAAAAATATGGCTGAATCAAATTCCACTGAGTAGAATAAGTGATAATAGTATTCCTTCAGTAATGAAAGCTATTCAACAAAATGATTATGGAGAAGTAACTACGTCATGTTTTAACGCTTCATAATGACGTGCCTATACCACGTGAATTATGATCAAAACAAATTCTTGTTTCGAGGTATATGCTGCGTCAATTAATTCAATTGATTGAAAAGTATTCAGTGAAAATTTTTCATTTCTTCTCCGATTATCATTTCCTCATATACCGGGTAAAGATGTTGCAGGTGTTGTTGTGGGTATTGGTTCAGAAGTAAAACGTTTTCATATTGATAATTAAGTTTATGGAAATCTTGGAATGAATGATGGTAGTTTTGATGAATATGTCTGTGGAGATGAATCATTATTTGCATTAAAATCAAATAATATAAAAATGAAAGAAGCAGCTGCTATACCATTAGTATGTGAAACAAGTTATCAAGAGTTATTTAAAAAGGCTTCATCACCTATTGGAGTGGAAAGAAAAATAGTAATTTGTGGTGGAAGTACAGCCACTGGTTAATTTGAAATGCAGTTAGCTAAAGCAGTTGAAGCTCATGCAACAGTAACATGTTCACAAAGAAATTTTAGTCTAATGTAAAAATTTGGTTTGTTTTCTTTGATTTCTATTATGGGTGACCTTCTTATTCATTATAGGTTATAAAATAACACAAACAAATATTGAGATAGATAATAATCACAACCAATTGCATATAATTGATTATAATGAGAAAGATTTAGGGCAAGAACTTAAGGGTAAATTTGTTTTTTTTTATGATTATGATTATTTGTTCTATTCTGTTTATTCGTATTTAGGTCAAAATTATGATGTTGTATATGATTGTGTTGATGGTGAACAACAATGGATATGAGTACAACAAATATTAAAAAGTGATGGTCAATTTATTTCTATTGTAGGTGACGATAGAAAATCGATTATTTCATTAAAATCAATAGTTTCAGTTGGTTCTAGTTTAATAAATCGAACATTTTGGTCTATTTTTGACTCATCTCACCATAATTATATATTTCATTTTCTAAGTCAAACTTTTCTCAAGATCTTGATGATATAAGAACAAAAAGTATTGAAACAGAAAAAGTTAAATCATTAATTGATACGATATTTGATTGGCGAAAATGTGATGTAGAAGCTTTATATTCACTCTATCAAATATTCAAAAAATGGAAAAACACAAGAAAAATTAATTCTTAAAATAGCTGATGAAGAATAAACATAAACATTTTTTTATTTAAAAAGTTTATCATAAATTGATTTTTTTTAATTAAAACTATTTTTACGTTGAATAAATATACCTTTTTAAAACATAGGGTTTCTATTTCAGAGATTATTTTTCATAATCAGATATAGCGAGATGTAACACTTTAGATAAATGGATCATTAAAACACTTATAGGTACTCTATTAGCGATAATTCTCGTAACATTTCTATAAATGTCACTGAGTGTTGCGTGTTGTATTTTTTCTTTAAATAGAAAAGAAGAAGAACTGTTGAAAATTTCTAATTCTGTATAATAGATTATAAAAAATAACTCGTATCTATTTTCTTAAAATAAGACAATTTTTTTGTAAAATTAGATCATTGAAAGAAAGTAGATCTAATGATAAAAATAATGTTTATTATCGAATTCAAGATCACAATGAATTTGATGTATATGATAGACGATCCTTGACATTATATATATGCCAATCATTCGCTCTATCTATTTTTTTTTATAGAATAATCTTATCATAGGATTAAACTCGTATGATGAGAATTAAATCACATGGTTAGTGATCCTAAAAATAATTTTAATCGTTTTTCTTCTGCATTGAATATCCTTTTCTTCGATTATATAGTTTTCTACTTCAATAAACATTCATAGAAAGATACTATGTTTTAAAACCGGTAATAATAAGGCATATATTGTATACTGGTTCTCTTATGAAAAAAAATCCTTTCGAAAAACAAAAAAAAAAGTCGGTTTTTTTATTTATACATCTTTTTATCATGCACACATAACCTTAAACTTACAGATTGTATTTAAAAGAATAGTTTCGTTTACAAGTACATGAAATTTTTAGTCGTTAATAAAAAAAGATGTCAGAAATGTTTTCTTTCAATTAATCGATATTATTTCTTCCATCTATAATTAATTACCTTACAGAAAATAAGAAAAAGTTCTTATTTCTTTTTTTGGTGCATTCGAGTTATCAAAACCGGATGCAAATATCATTAGCATATCAATTATTTCTATCTCAAACTAAATCTTGAAAAAAAAAGTATTGATTAAAAAGGTTCTCTTACGAATTAATTGGCGAAAAATATTCTTATTCATTATCAATAATTCTATGGATCGATGCTTCATAAAAAACAGAAAAATATATTATCTTTTGTATTTAACCAACAAAGGAGAAAGAAAGCTATAGACTGACTTGATGATTTATTACGATAAAAAATCTTTCTTTTTCATATATAAGAAAAGAATAAAACAAAGTGATCAAAATAAGAAAATCTATGAGACAAGGTCTGACTAAAAAGAACAATAAAAAATACTGGCACATTCTTTGGCATGATTTAATTTGTGAGCTCAATGCTCTCTTGCTTGTTCTATAGTATTTGAGAGTACGAAAAAGAAGAAGAAGAAGAAGAAGAAGAAGAAGAAGAAGAAGAAGAAGAAGAAGGAAAAGAAAAAGAAAAAGAAAAGAATCTATCAGAAGAATAAGAAGGAGAAAGGGAGAAAAAAAAAGAAGGAAGAAAAACGTGACATGGCAGCGCACCGAACAGCAAAACATACATTTAATAGGAAAGCTGCCAGTAGTGTGACATACACTCAAGACATCATTAAAATATTGTAATAAAGAAAGACACAAATTGAAAACAGTTAAAATTATAAAATCAAATGCTACACGCCGGTATTGAAGCACTTTTTGGTCGTAATCGTGATCATCATAAAAAGCGACATTTATTTCGTCTTCGTCGTCATCAAAAAAATCATAAAGAAGAAACAGATGAATTAGCAAAACTTTTTTCTGATAAACCTCATACAGAAAAAGAATTGATTGGTGATATAAATTTTGGCTTTGCTGCAATGCAAGGATGGCGTTCAACAATGGAGGATAGACATAAAAACTTAGTTCCATTTGATGATTCTTCATGGAAATTATGGTCATATTTTTCAATTTTTGATGGACATAATGGTAAGAAAAGATAATATTCGAACGCAATTATTATTTATTCATTATTATTATTTAAGGTATTGATACAGCAAAACATGCTGCTGATCGTCTTGAAATTCATCTATTAGATATACTTAATAAAATGCTTGTTCAACAAAAAGATGATAAAATAAATGCTGGTGAACCTGTTCGGTCATCTCAATTAGATATTCCAACATTATGTGCTGCTATTAAACAAGCTTATTTTGAATTAGATAAACATTTAAAAAGTATGGTTAAAGATGATAGTGGTTGTGTTTGTGTAAGTTTGACTATTTTTTTTTTTTTTTGCAAAAATCTTTTTTTTAAATTTCTTATTTAAAATATTTAGATAACATGTCTTATTGGCCCCGAACAAATTTATTTAGTTAATGTTGGTGATTCTCGGGCTATAATTTTTTCAAAGGATGGACATATTTTAGCATATACTGAAGGCAATTCTTTTATTCAATTCTTTTTGTTGTGGTGTTTTTTTAATTGAATATAAATTTTATAGATCACAAACCAGATGATCCTGCTGAACAAGAACGTATTCATGAAGCTGGAGGAAAAATCTCTAAACCATTTGCTGGTGATGTTTTACGTGTAGAAAATCAATTAGCCATGACGCGTGTATTAGGAGATTTTGGAATGGATAAACATATTGTTCCACCTATGGCAGATATTATTGAATATCCAAGAGATTCATCAGCAGCATATCTTGTTCTTGCATGTGATGGAGTTTGGGATGTGATGACAAATGAAGATGTAGCTTCATTTGTTGTGGATCGTGTGGCAACAACAAAATTAGAAAATATTGCAGCACAATTACTAGATGAGTGTCTTCGTCGAGATAGTACTGACAATATGAGTATCTACATTGTAAAACTTTAAATTGCTATTGTATATAAAAGAAGAACAATAAAATTAATTATTTTGTCATTTAATTAAATATTTAATATAATAGTAGGAATGATAACTTTTCTATTTATCTCACATTTATGCAAATGAGTGTAAGTAATGAATAAAAGATGAATTATTTTTTAATATGATTATATTTATCATTTATCGCATTTGTTCTTCAGATAATCGAATAAATGCTTTAGATTTCTTTTTTGAAAGTAGCTAATTCGAATGGTTTATGAAGAAAAAAAAAACTAGAAACTCGACATGTTTTTACCGTGTCACTTGTTATGACATCATATTCTAAGGTGACATAAGACGTGCGTGTCTTTTTTCTTTTGTTGTTTTGAATTCAACAAAAAATCTCTTTTATTTTCGTTCTTTCTTATTTACTTGTGCGTTGACTTTTACTGTCACCATTAAATTTATGTCATGGATTCTGAGCGAAATGCACGTAGAAGCACTTCGGCTTTATTGTATGATGACAATAAAAAGATAGAAGATACAATGTCAGAACAACAACCATTATTAAGCTATACAGATAATGATGATATTGGCAAGCGTCAATCATGGTATCGTCGAATATATGCAAGATATGGTTTGCTAAGATACATTCATTAGTGAAATATTGAAGAACATGTTATGTAATTTATAGTTGTGGCTACATGGGTTTTCTTAGGTTTTATTTGTTTGTATATGCTTCGTGTCAATTTATCAGTAGCTATCGTTGCTATGACTGTACCACGAAACCTTAAAAATGAATCTGTAGAAGCATGTCCATCGAGTACAAACGATTCAAGTGATACTCCATCTAAGGTTAGTAAACAAATACTTTCTTTTATTATTATGATAATATTTGAGAATTGACGTTTTATTTGTAGCATGATAACTTTGATTGGAATCCTCGTACACAAGGTTTTGTACTTGGGGCTTTCTTCTATGGTTATACTCTTTCACAATTTATCGGCGGTAAAGATAGAATAGAATATGAATAAAATCAATTTTATTAGTTTTTTAACAACATATTAAATAGGAATACTAGCTGAACGATTTGGTGCTAAATGGATTTTTGGTTGTTGTCTTTTAATAGCTGGTATTCTTACTCTACTTACACCAATTGCAGCTCAAACTCATGTTGGTCTTCTCATTGCTATTCGTATTCTTATTGGCATTTTTGAGGTAGAAAAATTTGTTATTCATATAATAAGATCAATAAATATTTAATATATACGTATATGTAGGGTCCAGCATTTCCAAGTGTAGGTGCATTGTGGGGTCATTGGGTACCACCTTTAGAAAGAAGCATCATTCCACCGATTTCACATGCTGGTATGACTTGTTTGAATAAAATACAAAATATATTTTCGTACTTTTTTCTTTTTATAGGAAAAGAAGTAGGTGTTGTAATCACAACTTCATTAGCAGGACTTCTATGCTCATCGAATTTTTTGGGTGGTTGGCCATCAGCATTTTACGTTTTTGGTAAGAATGATAACAATGTATTTATTCATCATAAACTGTATTTTTCATTTGTACAGGTATTATTACTTGTATATGGTTTGTTTTCTGGTGTTTTTTTTCTTATAATACTCCCTTTGATCATCCACGATGTACAGAAAAAGAGCGAGTGCATTTGATGTCTTCTCTTCCAAAACCAAAGAAGGTTTGTTTTTGTTTTAGTTAATATTTTTGTTTATATTTTCATCGATTTTTTAGTTAAAAACACCATGGTTATCAATTGCTTGTTCACTTCCATTTTGGTCGATTGCTATTGTATCAAGTTGTATTCAATTTGTTTATTATGTCTTATTAACATCATTACCTACTTATTTTGCTACTATATTAAGATTTAATTTACAAAAAGTATTTTTCGTCTTTTTTATTGAAAAGATAAATCTAAAATAATATTTTATTAATAGAATGGTTTAATGTTTGCTATTCCTTATATATTCATAATGATTGTTATTATTATAAGTGGTCAAGTAGCTGATCGTGTTCGAGATCGACGAATTATGTCAACAACAGCTGTCCGAAAAATACAAACTGCTATTGGTAATACTTTTTTTCTTATTCATTTTGAATGAAGCTTCTTATTATTTTTGTTGTTGAGAATAGGTGGTGTTGGTTCGTCTTTATTTTTAGTACTTATCGGTTATGTCGGCTGTAGTAAAGTGGCAGCTATGTTTTGTATTACATTAGCTGTTTCTTTTATTGGTTTTCATTCAAGTGGTTGTCAAATATCACATCTTGATATTGCAAGCAATTATGCTGGTTTGCTCCTATGAATGAATTCGTCTATTTCATTACATTCTTTTGCATTTATATAGGTACTCTTGTTGGCATTACGAATACATTAGCTGCAGTACCCGGTATTATTGCTCCTTATGTCGTTGGTGCTATTACAAATAATAATGTAGGATACTTTAAATTAAATACTAATATTTTTCTTTTTGATGTTATTTAAATAGCAAACATTACATGCTTGGCAAATCATTTTTAATTTATCAGCGGGTGTAGGTCTTTTTGGTTGTGTCGTATATTGTCTATTTTTTAATGGTGATGAACAAACATGGAATCAAAGTGGTTTACATGAAGTTCCAGATCCAGTACAAGAATAATTCATATCTTTAAGGAAATTCGCGAAAAAAAAATATTGTTTTTGAAGAGTTAATTAAATATTTTTTATTCTATTGGAAGAATTTATTTATTATTAATATTGATATGTGATTATAATCAAATTGTTAGAAAAATAAATAAAATTTAATTTGTTTGGTTTAATGTGTAGTTTTTGTGAAAGTTGTGTAACTTAGATAGGAATAAAAAAAAAACTTCATATCATAATGTAGTTTGATAATCAAAGGGTGTATTAGACATAAACAGGACCAACCATTTTGATTCTCCATTTAAAAACAAAAGATTTGATTCTGGATGTGAGTTCAATAAAAAAGAAATCATTTTCAACATATAGTTTACAATAATTTTCTATTTTTATCTTGACAGTTAAAATACTTTTGTTGGTGCACTGTGATTTATTTTCGTCGGTCATCATCTTTTAATTGAATGTTTAATAAAATATGAATAAGATCAGGTCTTTTAATTTTAGAGACTAATTCTAGTTTGTTTGTTTCTAGTACATACAATAATTAATATTTATCTAAATAGTCTATTGACGAATATTCGATTTATGCGCAAAAAAAAAGAAGTTTTTATTTAATAATTATTAAATTTGATATTTCACTTATTATAAAAGTATATATAATCTCTCCAGCACTGGTATCATATAATCAATGAGGTATCGAATACTGATGAGGTAAAATATAAAATTCTTTAATTAAAACTGTAGTTTTCCGGTGCATTGTATGTAGGATTCCATGATAATTGAATACCATCTAACGAAATTGGTATCATTGATGATACATTTCCAGTTGATTTTCCAAGTTTTTTTAATCGTTTTTGTCTTAATAATTTTGCTGTTGAAAGTGGTGGTAATCTACTATTATTATTTGATTTTGCTGGAGATTTGATCGATAAAGTACTATCTTTAAATAATCCATGATCCAAACTTATAAAGTCCTAATTTCAACAAAAGAAAACATAATTTAATTCTTAAATAAAATAAATCATCAAATTCAAAGTGCATAATAATAAATTCGAAAAACAAATCCTGTGGAAAAAAAAACCAAGTGTAAAACTTCACATAATTAACCTCAAAACGCGTTTCAACATTTTGAAAATGAGAAGAATATGTTTGATTGGTGCCCGAACGAATACTAGGCAACTGTAATTGTTTTTACATTGAATTTTACTAATAAATAAATAAATAAATTTTAAAAATAAACTATACCTTCGTTTTTGTTGACATACTCTTCGTTGTTGCAACTATTAAAACAAAAATACATATTTGTTTTTTTTTTGTCTTTTAATGATTTTCTGTTTGATAATCTCATACTTGTCCTTTCTGATGAACTAGTTGGCTTTGGTGTTGAAAGGCATTCCTGTCGATGAAAAGTATTCCATCCATTTATTTTACATGCTTTTGAACAAAATGATGCTTTTTGACAACGTTTACAAAGAGTAAGTCGTACACCAGTACTTCGACCACATGTAGCACAATAACGAAATTGACCAGTTATTCTAGTACTTCAAATTTTATATTTATATGACAAAATTAAGTTTGAATTAATTTTACTTTGAATTATCATCAGGAGTTTTTTCTGTCACAAATGAATAAGCTCGTGATACTGAATTTTGTGAAAATAGATTAGCTGGACTTGGCGTTGGATTATAACCATCTAGAGATCAAAAAACAAAAACTTGAAGAGATGTAAAACTTTTTTTTTTTTATTTAAAACATACCTAATGTTGGTGTTGGTAAACGTAAAAATTCTTCATATTTTGAAACTTCTTCTCGAAATCGTTTAGCTATATGAGTGAGTAATTCTTTTCGTTCACTGTAAATAACACGTTCTTGATTTGTTAATGAATGATATGGTGTTTGAGATATTCGAGTATCCTATCATTTAAATATTTAATATTGTAAAATTAATAAAATTAAACTTACAGCTGAAAACATAAAATGAGCGAAATCAACTGATGAACCTAAACTATTTTTTGGACCAAATCGAATAGGATAAAGAACTTTCGGGTTTTTTTCTATGAGACGTTCAATCTGTAATTAAAAAAAAAAACAAGAAAAGTTTAATAAAAATCTTTGATTTGATTTAATTGTTTTTTTTTAATTTACTAATTGTAATCGTTTTGCATAAGTCCAACCAGGTTCGTGAAATGTTGATAATATAGTACATAATGCATTTCCATTTCCTAAACCAAGTACTGTTGATGGATCAGTACTTTCATGATCAAGAAGTAAATCAACTAGAGGTTGATTGCCTAAAGTAATAGCAAGTGTAAGTGGTGTTTGACCATTACAAACAGCATTTGGATTTGCTTGATATTCAAGAAGAAGTCGAACAAGTTTTAATGTATTTGATGTTGCTTCTCGTGTACATGCTATATGCAAAGGTGTACGACCATGTTGTTGAGTATCAATCTAAATATTAAGATTTTATTTTGTGTGATAAAATAAAAATAAAACAAAATATACTCGTTTATTCGAATTCATAATAAGTGGATCAACAAGTGAGAAATATTCTTTATTACCCGATAATGATTCAGCATTAACATAAGCACCATGTTCTAATAATAGTCGAACAATATCAATTGCATTTTCTGATGAAGAACCACAAGCGATATGTAATGGAGTTAAGCCTGCATGACGAATAGCATCTAATTGACAATTAACTTGAACTTTTTTCTTTAATAATAATTCAACCATATGTTTATCACCAGCCCGAACAGCTAATGCAAGTATAGGTAAAGGCCAATCACTATGTGATGGATCAGCACCACGACGAAGAAGAAGTCTTAGAAAAGAAAAATAAATAAATAAATATTAACAAGTTGAATATTAATGAAGACATACAGAATAAGAGAATAAATAGATTCACGAAATTTTTCATCACGAATACGTTCACGAAGATTATCTGTTAATTCATATCCATATGAATCTATTTAAATTCAATATAAATTATAATTAAAACAAAAATTCAAAACAACTTTTTCTTTTTTTACTTTTTTTATCTGAATCATTTATTCTCATTGATTCTAATGATGATAAGAATTTTGCATCATCTTTAATTATATTTGAATTATTAGTTAAATTATTTGAAGAATTTGTTATATTGTGTTTCGATAATGTCATTATATTTGTTTCTGTTAAATTTGATGTTCGAGGATTTAAAATAACAGGATCTGTATGTTCTAAAGCTGTATTAATTGTTTGTTGAGGATCATTACCATAATAAAGAAGAAAAGCAAGAGCAAGTGGAGTTAAACCATCATCTGATAATTGATTAACATTGGCACCAAAATCAAGAAGAACATTAACAACATTTATGTGTGCATTATATGTAGCAAAATGTAAAGCGGTTAAACCATGAGAATCACATACATCAACATATACATGTTGTTGCATTAGAAGACTACGTACATCTTTTTCTTTACCATTAAATGATAATTCAAATAGATTTAATGAAACATTTTCTAATGGACCTGGCTTAGGAAAGGAAGAACGAGTATCTAAAATAAAAATAAAAATAAAACATAAAGTAGTAAGTTTTACTTATTGATATTATTTACTAGAAAAAATATCATCAATAGGAAATGATGCTCGTTGTTTAAATGGCCAAAATTTATTAGCATAATAATATAATTGTTGTTGTTCATATGTTTCATTAGGTGGTAATATATCTGGAGTTCGTTCTTTTAAAATTTTTTCTTTTAATATTTTTTCATCATTTTTTTCATAAATACTTGATAAATAAGCATCTATTTGTTCACGTTTATCTTGCATTGCTTCTTGTACTCGATCAGCACGTTCAATAATATATCGAGTTAACAATGAATTTTCATATTGAATATTATTACAAAAAAGTGTTGGAGATTTATTTTTTAATAAAAAATCAAGATCAGATATAGTTGAAAGTAATTCTTGTGGTGAATACCATGATGGAATAATAAGTGAAGATGAATGTTGAGATTTTTTATCTGTTATACGTATATCTAATGTGAGTTTTGGATGAGGATAAAGTATACGAATAAGATCTTCATTTAACCATAAACCAACATCAGCACATTTTAGAGATTCATAAATTAATATACCTGGACCAAATCGTTCATCATGACAATATAAACCCTAGAAAACAAATCATTTATAATTTTTTTTTCGCTTACTAATTAAATATGACCTTGAATTGTGAACTATTTGGATTATGAAAAATTCCAAATCCATGTCGTTTATCAGCAAAAAAGGCGCCTGTATACATTCGACCATCAGGCCAAGATAAGACACCTTTTCCATGTTTTTTATCTTCATAAATATCACCTATATATTTCTTTAAATCAATTGAATCAATATTGATTTCTTTATTTTTTATTCAAATAAAACTCACACATTCATCTTTTGTTGTTGAGCTTGGTGTCCGTTGTCTAGTACTACTGGTTGCTGATGTTGTATCTCGAACAACATCAATAGATAAAGTACTTATTCCATTTTGATTATTGTTATTAGCATGAATATGATTATCATTCGTCTTATCAGAGTCTGAGAGTGGATTAATATTTGCTGAAGTTATAAAAAAAAAGATTAACACTTGAAAAATGATGTTTCGTTTTTTTTTTACCATTTTCTTTGATTTCAGATGATGTATTTTGAACAGTATCGTCTCCGATTATCTCTGTCATTTGTTCTTGAGTTCTGCTATTCGTTGACATACCTGTGGCTATTACCATTTTTTATTTTTTGTCAATCGCTGTTGAAAACGATACTAAACTAAAATGAACAGTCGATTGACTATAAAGTTTTCAAGTTAATAAAAAAAATTCCACTTCACATAAGTGAGTGAGTCATGGAAATAATAAAATACATCAGCCATTTATAACGTGCAATGCCTAGGAAATGCTATGCTTCGACATCATTTTATTTTTAACCAATCATCAACAGATGCCGCAAATCTATCGACAGTATTTGTCTTGTAAGAGGATATTTAGTAAATAAATTATTTTTTTTTCTGTATTATTGAATAAGAATTATTTTTAAATAAAAATGAAGAAAAAAAAAACACATCTCTCTAAATATCTAAATCGAGATAGTCTACCGTTCTGCTTACAATATTGTTACCTATGAAAAACAAAACTTGTGCAAATCAACATTTTAACACCAAATTTTTGATGAAAAATGCTGTTTTTCGTTTAAACGTATTGTCTTTTCTTTCAATGCATTTTTTTCGGAGAAAAAATGAGTTATTTCACAAACAAGTTAAATGAATACTTGGATTCGTATTTTCAGTAAAAACGTCTTTTTTATGAAATGAAAATTTGTCATCATGTAGACAAATATTGCGTGATATCCGACTCAAAAATAAATCTCTTAAATAAAACTATACTCAAGATGAATTTTATAGCTATCCTATAGCAGAATGTACTGGATTAGTAGGAAAGAAAGAAACATTTATATAACAAACATGACGTGCGCAAATGAATAATAGAAGTTTATCTGGATTTAAAAAAAAAATCTCGAGTAACTTGGTAATGACATACTGAATATAATATCGAAGTCTGAATTCTGTTAAATAATGTTCATGCAACGATTAGTTGCAGTGTTCTTTAAAATTCTTTATAGAATTTCTAGTGATTCATAGTTGGAGCATTACATTTATCATATTTTCAATTCATTAAAAGAGATTGTTTTTAAAGAGAAAAGAGTAGTATGTCTTGGTTTATTTCTATTACAATACTTTACTCATATTTTAATTCAGTTTCTAAAGTTTCATTACTAACTTCTTGTATTGGTCGACGAGGAATGTTGGTAGTTTTACTTTCAATAAAAGCTCGAATATTTCTATAAACTATTCATTCGACGAATAATACCCTTTAACATGCATAGTTTTTTCGCTTTCTCTAAAGACAACTTTATGACCGATACCGATTACAATTATCTTTGATTTTTATTGTCCCCTTTTTTGTATTTTTATATCTTTTACTATGTTCTCTTCCTTCAACAATCAAATCGATGCATTATGAAAATAGTTACCCATTTCTTTTTGTTTTTTATATCTATTATCTTTCATTGACGAACTTATATGGTTATCATAAAACTGAATTAAAAAAAAATAGACATATGCAGTATTCTAATTGAATAAATAGTTCTCAGAAAAATCATTGCTTTTTTGAATTTGTCTATTAAAAATTGTTTTTAGATGAATCTTAGTCATTGTTTTACAATCTTCAAAATTATCGATTTCATAAATGAAGTTCATACAGATAACGGTACATGCTCACTGATCTGAGAAGTATTGATTTCAACCATGAAAAACTCAAATACATGAAACTATTACAAAATTTATTGAAAGTATTTTGTATGTTAGCATGCATTTTTTACTGAGATACATCAGACCATATACTGCGACACTCTAAATAAGTGCGGATTTATTACTGCACCGTCAATGTGTCGTCTTTGACTACGGAACTCTTATAGGCTTCGAAAAATGAAACTCGTTTCCCAATTTTCATTCCAAGTCTCTTTTTTGATTCAGAGAAAATCGACTGATTTAGTATCTTTCATACTTAATCACTTCTAGGTTCGGAAAAAAGCGCAAAGGTTTTCGCATTTTTCATATGAAGCTAACATAACTTCTTAGGATAAAGAATTTCGATAGTTTCGCCTGACACTAACAAGCTTCGTATTTCTTTCAGGAACTTACGGTGGTATTCAAGTGATAAAGTAATCATGCAATCATCACTCTATTGGAATCTTTGTCAATACTTATGTCGTGCATAGTGTCTTCTTGTTTGTAAAATTGATGTGCATTCACTGTTTTATCATGAAACGAATTAAAGTCCAGCACTCCCTCTCCTCTAACTGGCAAGCAAATAGTTTTATTATTAATTTCTTATAATGAAATCAATATTTTTCTCAGAGTCGAAAATCATGATGCTGATTATGATCATCTTGTCATTCGTACTCAAGTTTTCTTTGAGAATTTTTTACTCTGAGTCTTGAAAGCAATTACTCATTGCTCTAAAGTAATAAACAGACAAGTCATTTGCATCACTTTCATTCGAATCATAATCGGTATTCAAATTATAAAACATCTCAATCCGATGAAGTTGTTGAATTCCTATTTTGAGACATTATTTTAAAACAAGGAAAGCTAATACAATTATATAAGATAGAAAAAATCGCAAGTCAAAATAGCGACAACAGAACGAAATACTAAGCGAGATATGCATGTTAAATAAATATGAACGATACGAATGAATAAGGGTTCTTTATTGAAGAGACAAGCTGTATTATGCAAAAAATAAAGTGAGAAAGGAGGACGAACAAAGAACTCGAGAATGCTCTTTTGTTTTGTTCCGTTGCATACTAAGAATTTTCAAAGACGGATAATAAAAGAAAAGCAAAATTATTTTTTTTTTCTTATTCGATCTTGTAGTGGCACAATATTGCTGATATTTTCAATTAAAATGAGGTTATAGCTCAAAAAGATGAATGCCCAAGAAACAACAAAAAAGAGAATAACAGACGAAATGGTTAATGAGCAACGGAGAGAGAATTAAAACATAAAAAGAATAAACATCAATAGAATGACAATTATGAATATTAGTTCCATAGTATGGTTATTGAGAAAATACTCTGGCTCAATTACATGTCACATTATGTAAATCTGATCAAAGTATATCAACATAATGCAAAACACACTCGATATATGAATACCGGGTCATGTATAGTACGAAAATACTGTGACACCACCAAAACTACAGTAAAAGAGAGAGAGAGAGACACGTTCTTGGTAGTTTAGCGAAGAAAGAAAGTCATAGCAAAAAATTAAAGATCTCTATCCTTTTTCTATATAAGCTTATTGGAAAACTATCATGATTTAGTTTTTGAATGTAAGTAAAGTTAGCACCAGATTCGCGTCTTTTCTGTCCCGATTCGCCTTATTACCCGTGTTAACTCTCTAAGCACTTGTGTTAGGTGCAGAATTTTATGCTCTATCGAATGATACCAGTTTCAAGGGGGGGGGGGGGGCATCCGGCAAAAACCACCACTTTTCTTCGAAATACTGTCTTTTTCCCTGTGAAACAACAACAAATATCCTGTATTTCTTGTCCGGATTCGCTCTACGACTTGTGTTAACTTTCTAATTGAGTGTGTTAGACGCAGAATTTAATTCTCTATCCGACGGTACCATTTTCAGTGAGAGTCATAGGGCAAAATTGGAGGGTTGAACCCTAATTACTGGTTCCGACAGTTAGTCAAACGGCTAACTTTCCTGATGAAATTTAATGGTTGGTGTTTCTGAACAGAAGAACTGCAACAAGGCGAGTCTGTATAGGCAGAACTGTTATATGTTTTGCGATGAATGCATAGCAACATGGAAGTGAGAGTAACGCTTCCAATCTTAGGTACTTGGTTCATTATGCTCTTCATTGGAAGTGTATGAGTTTTCTACTTATTCTGTTAAGTATTTGAACAAAGAGCATATGCGTGAAAGGCTATGAAATAAGAAGTAAAATTCAAAATGGCTAACTAATGTGAAGTTTTTGAAGTTGAAATATTTTTTTCTTGTACTGTGCAATGGTCAACGTGAATAATATCGGACATCCACATATCATTTATTTTGTTTATATTGGAAATATCTACTGATTTATGAATAATGTCTAGGATAAAGTAATATCGAAGAGTGCTAAGAAAAATAGCTAAGAGAGAAACAATGAACGATATCATAGAAACACAAATATTGCATATTAAGGTGGGAAAATGCATTTGATTGAGTGGAAAGAAAATAGAGATGGCAAATAGGGAATACGTATAATGTAACCGGAGAAAGAATATCGTAACATATTAGAAGAACGTGCAAAAGTGCGCGTACACGATTTACTGTCCGCGGATTTACTGTCCACGGATTTACTGTCCATTGATTGAAAAAATAGAATATTTCAATTAGTGTATTTTTTGGTTGAGGATTTACTGTCCATTAATTGCTTCGAAGAAGAGAAATTAATAAATGAGTAATGGTCTTGACAATCAATCCCTTTTCTTAACAAAAAATTACATAAATGTTGAAAAACAAAAAAGTCACCAATGAGCGAGCTATTGNCGACTCGCGTACAATGCGCAACGCATCAAATTGTCTAATTTCAATAGAAACAGACTTCTGGCACCTAAAATGATAAAATTGGAAAGACAAAGTCGAATTCAGACAGGGGACCGTTTGTGCTTCTTAACGGTCCCCCTCCTTTGTGCAAGCAATAGCAATTTACAACATGAACCACCTACGCTGTCCTAGAAAGAAAAACAATAAAAATTCAGTATTTAATCATGGTTTGAGTTGAACATTTATTAATAACAGTTGAACAGGTTTTGAATTAGACTCTGGACGAGGAAACTTTCGAGTTACAAAACAATTTCCAGATACTTCTATCACTATTCAAATTATTGAATTCTTGTCATCTCAACATGTCGTTTAGATATTGTCTTCTAGCACTAGTAAAAAGCATTATTTAGTTATTCATTATATTCTAACGATGAATTTTCTTATTGACTATGACATACAATTGTCAATATTTATAATTTAATGATTAATATTTTTATTGAAATTCTCTTTTATCAACATAATAAAATATTAGAAAAGCCATTTATTCATAACTATAGTTTAATAGTCTCATATACCGCTGTAATAAGATCATTGAAGTATTGAGAAAAATATTTATTTATTTATTAAAGTATTTTTAAGGCTAATTATCGAGAAAACAAAAACAATAATCATTGGAATGTAACTGACAAATAAAAATGACTAGAATAAAATTGACTTGTAAAATGATTTTAATTAATTGAAATTATCTATTAATATTGTTAATATCTTATGGTCGATTAAAAAGAAGACATCGACTTGAAAGAACACAATCAATTTTGGCAAATTCACTATTCAGCAATTCACCATGAGATACTGTTGGACCAAGTCGACTAGTTAAAATCTAATATATTAATGCTTTTAAATAATTCTTAAAAACAAATTGAATGATACTTACTCGTATACTATCTCCATATCGATGATCCAAAGGCAAATGTAAAACAGTTCCATTAATCCATAAACAATTTGCAGCTGGATCATCGCGAAGTGTTATTATTTTATATGATTTATATTCACTATTTTCTTCCATTTGCTAAAGATAAAAAAAAAATACAAATTTTAAATTGTTTAGAAGAATAAATCTTCTTACACGAAGAAGATCTTTCGCTATATCAGATTTACCAATTGCCATGGTATCCATAGCGACCATTGAAACAAAATTTTTCAAATGTGAACCTTTCTTTATCTAAATATTTTATATCAAATATAAATATATATAAAGAAAAGAAAGAAAAAAAACTTTATACTCTAATTAAGGTTACTGGATACTCAGGAAATGCGGATGCTACTGCTTTAGCACCTGCCATATTTGTAGTCCTTGATAAACCAACAAAAAATTCCCGACCTAGATTGAAAATAAATTTATTATAATGTAGAAAGAAAAACATTACCTGTAAAAAGTACATCTCCTCCATCAATAGTCGCCAATGGATCTTTGATATCCATTATACTAAGACCCTCTCGTCTAAGTATTGTTCGAATTATATCAACCTAAAATAATGATTTTATTAGTAAATATACGAAGTCTATTAATTTTGATTACTTCTTTCAATCTTCCATGTATACCAGGTCGACAAATAAGTGCAATACCATCACAAACTACTGCTGTATCTTCAACAAATACTCCTTCAGGTAATGATTCATCAGCTTGTAATTCAATAACATCTAAACCAAGTTTTCTATATAAAGAAATATTTTTATTAAAATAAAAATATCGAAAAGAAAATTTTAACCTTAAAGTAGCAATATATTCTTGATGTTGTCTTCTAGCTTTTTCAATATTAATAACTTCTCTTATATCTCGTTGACATAAAGCTGCATCTTTTAAACTTGCTGCAACTCGACAAACAATAGCTGATGTAAAATGAAAATCAAATGGATAAGTTAGCATTATCTTAAAAATAAGAAGAAAACGAAATATATTATATTGTATAGACAATTAATTAATACATATACGGAACGAAAAAAAAAAAGGAATTTCTTTTAATTAATTTTTGTTCTATTTGCTGCATTAGCTGCTTCTTTAATTGTATTAACAGTTTTTGATAGCCAACTAACAGATGAATTTTGATTAGTTGAATGATTACTTGATAGAGATATAGAATCGGAATCATTTATTGTTGATGTTGATCGTCGAAGTTGACGCATTAATTCTTGATTTTCACATAAAGCTTCTGTTAATGCTAATTTTTTTTCTGCTAATTCAATTTCAACACGATGTAAACGATCAACAATAGCGGATGGAATAATTGATGATAAATCATCATCATCATTATTATTATTATTATTTATTGTTTCTTGTTCAGGTGTTGATGCATTACTTGATGAAGAAGAATAAATTAATAATCGACATGATTCACAACAATGATTCTAAATCGGTGTAAGAAAAAAAAAAACAATATTTATTGAAAATGAAAATTTTGTTTTTTTTTACGTGGATAAATTCCATTTTTTGAATATATTTTTCTTTATGTTCATCTATTTGATGATTTAATTGTGAACAAATCTAAAATTTTTATTCGATGAATAAAACGAATAATAGAAAAGTTTCTAAACAAAATGTTCACTCGTTTTCTTTTCAATTACTTAAATAAGCATCTTCTATTGAGTTAGAACCAAAAATAAACTTTAGATCGGGAAAAACAACGTGTTTTTCTTTAGTTTATATTATCGATGCGTGTGACAATAAATAAAACAGAGACAATTTTCTAGTAAAGAACGCAAAAATTATAAGTTTTCAATTATTCAAAGACGACCGAGCACATTATGTAAATGTAATTCTCCGTAGGAATCAGGAAAACAGTATGATATCTCATTATAAAATGATTATTTTATAACTAGACATGCGTCAAAATCCCATGATTGAGTTCGATGGATTTCCTTAACGTGCAAGTTCAAATTTAATCTCAAATTGAGTCATTTTTAAGTTAATGAATAAAATGATTTCAGTTTGCCTATAGAAATACGAAAAGCAGAAGTGTCACACATATAAAAGAAAACTTTGAACGATGTTCAAAAATATCTAAAATGAAATTCAAATCAAAACTATTGAATGTATTCATCATGACTCATTTATTTAGTGAAACACTTCGATAATTATCTAAATATTGAATACTGTTCGAACTAGATATGTGCAAAGTAAGACTTGTCATCAGTATCATATTCTCACTACTCATATTTTCTAAAAATTAATACGAAAATAATTGACTAAAGATCATTGCAATATTTTCTATTACAATTTTGATAGTAAAATTAATCTTTTTTTTTTTTGGTATATAAAACAATTGTTGAACACATAAACTTGTAAACTAGAAAAAGTAGTAGTGAATTTAAAACAGTAATCAATCTCCCAGATGCAGTACATTAGCGGTCGTGCAAGAGATCTTTAGTTAACTAACACTTCTAGAAAATAATATCACATTTTTTACTAGTACATGTATCACTAAGCGCGAAATCAGAACAAAAAACGATTGATTCTGCTGATCACTAATTCGAACAAGTTGAATAGTTTTCGAACTCGAATTTACAATCACGAGAAATTGTTTTCAACTAACTAATCGGTTTATTATCGAAAGTTAGTAGATCGTAGGTTATCAACCATGCTGATTCTGAATATAATCATAAGAAATTATGTTAAGTCTTTGTATACTAGTTTTTCAGACTAAAAAATATTTTGCCAAAATCATTTGTGATCTATTCATATTATAGAGCCTATAAAGTTATTTATAAGATGATACTCTTTTCTAAATATGAATTTGAAGTAAAATAATATCATCTTGAAGATTTTTACAATGAAACGTTGATATGTATTTGCTGTAAGAATTAAAATGGCTATACACTTTGCAAAAAGACCATTTGAAAGGGAAAAATTTAGTGTTTTATAGGCAATTCAATATACTCTTTAATCTGTACAGATCAAAACATGTTTTTGGTGAAAAGTTTCTTAATCCGGAAAGCCAGCATATAAAGACGTGGGAGATTTCTTATGGAGTATATTTGGAATCAGCATAATCGATAATCTACAATCTACTAGCTTTTATTGCAAAAGTGATTGATCAGTTGAAAACGTTTTCTCGTCAGTCGTTGGATACAAAATCTGAATTAGGGTTTGAAGCATATCGATTCTTAACAAATCGCTTGCAAGATGTTCATTAATCTTTCTATCATTCTCTAAAGAAATGTTTGCATTTTCTTTGATTGCATTTTAACTAATTCTTTCGTTTTGAATTGTGAATTAATATTTGGAAAGAAAATGACATTCTGATTCTGACTTAATGTAGATATTTCCTTTAATGGACTTTATAGTGAGTGAGTATTTTATTTATAAATGTTCACATCATTTATTATTTACTCGTTTACTATCATGAAGCATTTTTTGTGTTTGTTGAAGTTCATCACATGTATCTCTAAAAGCTTCTCGAATCTAAATAAAAGAAACGAGAATATTTTAATTCAAAGAATATATTAAAAATTTTATTTACATGTTCTAATTCTTCATTCAATCTAATTGCAAGTTCTTCATTTTGTCTCACAGTAGTTTTAGTTCCTTCTAACTCTCGAGTTAAATTTTCAATTTGATCTTCTGCCTAAAATATTTATATTAAGAAGAAAAAGAAAATGTTTTGTTTTTGTTTTTGTTAATGTTAAAATCAACAAACTTCATGAAGATTTCCTTTAAGTCTAATACGATCATTAACTAATTCAAGTGCAAGAATTTCATTTTCGAATTCGGAACGCATACATGCTTCAGTTAAACGTTTGTTATCAGCCTTAAAAAAAAATAATATAAAAATCAATCTAAAAAACAAAATAAAAGAAAGAATTTTTGTCAACCTCAAGACGTTGCAATGGCGTTTCTTTTTGTTCTTCTTCAGCACGATGAAATAAATATTCTTTTTCATATCGTTTTAATTTTTTTGCATGTATCTAACAATGAAAAATATGATTAAATAAAATTTTTCTATATTTTGTTTTTGTCGAAATACCTTCATTGAAGAAGCAGTTTGAATAAGTTCATCAGCATGATCTTCACAAAGATATTTTTTTGGTAAATTTACACGAAAGTATCTCATAACACCTTCAAAATCAAGTGATAATAAATCTTTTTGATTACACTAAAACAAACAAGAAAAACAAATTTTAACTTTCATTTTAAAAATGACTGAAAACATTTTCCATTTATGTTTTTTCTTTCTTCATTATCAATAAAATCTTCAATTCGATAAATAATTTCATCTTCATTATTGTGATCATCATCATTTGAATTAATAGATTCGCAAACCGTCAAGTTACACCACCTCGTCACAGATCAAGGCGAGTACGAGACGATGCGAGATTTGACGATTCGCCCCGTCTCTTTACGAAACAGTTTTTTGCTGAATAGATGTCAATTCTCTAACAATATCTATCAATTTTCTTGTAGCTATTTTTTAATTGTTAGCATTGTGGCTAAAGACGAAAGTGCATACATACTTATATATATATGTGTGTGTTCGGTTAAGTCTACTATTTTTATTGCTGTAATTGGCAGTGCATACAGATCTTGCCTGAGACTCACCTATGCCGATGTAGCGTAAAATATTTGTTCAATTGTTTATGATGGTAGTCATGCTTCGCCAAGTACTCATGGGATGACGTGCAACAAATATTCACAATTTACTTATACATAACTAGATCTTTGGCAAGGCGGTGACTAAACGGTTTTCCAGCTGTTTCATGAATCTCTGGTTGGAATCTCTCATGTGTCATATCAATTGATTTGCTAGTATATAAACATAACTTTTGAGAGAACTATATGAATTTCATAAACAGTAAAGATGTAGCGATTAAAATTAGGAAGAACTATTTGATATATGGTGATTGCATTCCGATGAGTATACAATCATCCTCGCGATCATTTGTCTTAGATATATTAGAATCTGTTTGATCTAATTAATAATAAGATACAAATTCTATTTCTTTGAATGATAATAAATTGTTCACTATCACTTAAGATTAATTTTTATTGAAGGAACATTTCTTAAATAAATATCAAGGACGATATATACAAAATTCGAATACATCCCGTGTATGATTGCATTTATTCGTATTGTATATGAAGTCAGTAAACGACCTCGTTTACGCTCTTAAACGTTTGTATTTCTCTGTATGTGACACGAAGAAATACGATCGTAATATGGAGCTATGTAAATTACAATGATTTACGAGTGTGTTCATTCGGTGTAGATGTATGAGAAGTAAAAATATAATAAATAACTTACAACAATTTTCAGTTGTGCACTTTTTTAAATTATTTTGAAGAGATTTTTTATGTTCAATAAAACTCACGTACGAAACATTCGTACACTTATGAAAGAAATTTATGAAATATGTAACTTAATATTTATGATCCTTTTTAGATTATATATTAATCTCACTAAAATCTACGCTTGAGCAGAATATTGAGTCAAAATCGATGTTTCTCTAGCAAAGGCAACGTATATTTCTATGCTTCCAAAGTAAGGATCAATACAGAAGTACGTATTTCCTTTTGTGTTCCTTTCTTATTAATGCAGAAGAATTGTAGTTTCATAATTTTGTAAATCATTTCAAGTGGACTTAATAAGATAGCTTTATTAATCAAAAATTTCTATTAACTTAAAGCTATATCATATTACCATAAAAAATCTTTTTGGATATTTTTCCTCTCTAGCAAACAAAATAAATAACCATCAAATAAGTAAATACTTTTCACCGAAATATTAGATATAATTTTCTGATGAATGATAGAACAAATTGATTACGAATTTTTCTAACTTCTATATTCATTCATAGCTTATTAATGTTCTTAAACTATAGTCCCAATTCATAAATACCTTTAATAAAGCTAAAGCAACGGCGAAAATTGCATTAAAACCCTAGAAAATGAAAACAAAAACTCGTGTTGTGTTTTTCTGTGTAATTAATGCAACCAACTTCATATAAAAAAATATCCATAATACGAAAGACTAAATAAAGTGGAAATTTTGCAGTAAATAATGTTAAAAACCATTGTGAAGCAAACATATGGCATTCTACTTTAAGATCATAAAAATGAGCATAAATATCCGGTAAGTTCTCTTCTATTAAACAATTTAATTGATAAAATTTCATTTGAAGATTTTCAAAATTTGCTTTATACATTTCACGTAATAAATAACGTTCATCTTCCATTAATTTACATAATAGCATAAATGCTTGTTCTTCAGGCATCTAGAAAGGAAACAAAAATAGGTTTTTAATATTAGATTTAAAAAAAAAACAGATCAATTCTTGTTTTACTTACATGAATAAGCAAAGTTGCGATAACAAATGATAAACCTTGACAATAGCCAACTTCTTCATCGCGTACTGAATAAGCCTGTTAACAAAATTATTAAATTAAAATTCAATTTCAGAGGCGACACGAACAGATAAGTGCAGAAGAAGAGGGTATTTCCAAAAATGGGAGAAATATGTGGCATAACGCAATAGAGTTTTGAGTCAATCGAAACTCAATAAATGTAATATAAATTTCTCTTTGCAGTTAACAACGCACAAAATGTTGTCGTTTCAATTGACTTTTACATAAAGGTCAAAGTTTGAAACAATTTCATAAGTTTACATAGAGCTTAAACCATTTATTGCATAGCAAACATTAATCCAAACTTCTCAAATGTTCTATCTTGTCTTGCAGCTCATTTTCTAGCGGAAACTTGTTCACATTCAGTTAAGAAAAGGTTTTCAGTCTTTTTTGCTACCGAAGGCGGCTACACTCGCAACACTTGTTAAACAAAGCGATGACTGTTGGATTTTATTAGACACTCGAGTTCGTGCTGATCGGGAAACCACCCGAGGTACTACTTCGTCTTTAAGATGAAACTGTAGTCATTACGTAAGATCTATTGAAACTCGAAGAATTCTTTCCTACGGACTGCTCTTTTGAAGTTATTGCCGTTACACTACATTTCGTTTGTCCAGTTTTTTTAATAAATATCGAAAGTAAAATATCTGGTGTAACGGCTATAGCTTCAAAAGTGCAATGTATGGGGAAAAATCCTTCTAGGTTTCTTCCAGTCTTAACAGATCCTACGTAATAACTGGGATCTCATCACAAATTCAGGGTATCACTTCGAGTGTTTTTTCTCGTGAATTTTCCAAAAATGGACAGATCGACACTGACTCTAAAGGTGGTAGAGACTTTAGTTATTTTTGAAAGCTCTAGCTATCGTATAAGTCATAGGATCATTTGCGCCTTGATCACAGTATTTTCAAACATCTTGACTTATCGCAGGGAAGGTAATCAAGCTTGTTCAGTAATTTAGATCACTATTGCGTTGGTGAAATAGTCCCACTACATAAAATCTTCACAAAATCAGAGAAAGATATACCGCAAATATTCAGAAATTCAAGAAAAAATAGTCCACCCAGAATAAGAGAATCTTGTAGTCTAAAGCTTCACAGATCGATGGAAGATATAGTTTTAATTTCGTCAAACTCGGAAAAAACTCGCCAAAAAAATTTTAAAAGTAGGAAAGGTATTATTGCTTCAGGTCGAGCTTCTATTTATTTTTGTTTTTTACATACTCGACTTAATTTATATAAAGCTTCTTGACCAATTCCTCCTTGTTCTTTAAAATATTCATGAGCTGGAAATGTTCGATTAAGATCATTAATAATAATTCTTTCACTTGCTGATTCTTTTGTTAATAATAAACGATAAGTATTAATCATTTCATTTTCATCTTTAACACTACCAGCTAATAATGACCATACTTCACCACGTAATGCTTCTGGAATACCTTTTCGTACAAGTGTTTGTAAACCTTTTGGACGTTCAAAATAATTTTTTCTCCATTTGATTAATATTTCACACCAACTACTAAGAACTTCGTCATCACAATCTTTACTTACATGTCCAAAACCACTAACTATGGCTTCATCACTATCATCGTCATCATCACCTGTACTATTTGATGGTACTCCTTTTTTTATATCAAAAATTATTTTTATATATTTATTTATTTAAATAGAAATGAAATTTACTTGATATTAATCGACCAAATTTTGCTCGTCTTTCAGCTTCAGATTTGCTTTCTAATTGTAGTACTTCATATGTTTCATCTTGATGAGAATTTTTCGATACCACCTTTAAAAGACGAAAGATTTTCTTTGTTTTTGTTTTCTTGACTTTTTTTGTTAAACAAAAGAAAAGGTGTGTCTTGTATTTACCTGTTTGATAATCATATCAAATTCTTCAGTAAATGGTGTTACTTTTTTAAATGATGACCAAATTGTATCACTTATATCTTGAGAAGTTATATCATTTGATTTATTTAATTCCTTAATACGAGCTTTAGCTTCAATTGAAAATCGAACCGGTTCAGAAATACCGCTTATCACAATATCTAATGCAACCGTCAGAAATATACGAGCACCTTATAATATAACAAGAAAATAAAATTAATATTAATTCAAGCTCAATTTTTCTATACCTTTGGGTGTTTCTTCATTGAGATATGTCAAATGTTTAAAAGAACGTGCCAATGGATTCCAATATCCTCTAACAGTATAATATCGATTATCTTCTGATTTTCCCATGGTTTCCTATTTTATAGAAAAAAAAAAAAGAAAAATTTATTGCCTAACAAATAAAAAAAAAAAAAACAAACCAAATCAAGTAATTGCATATCACTTGCACGAACATTTCGTCCTTGAGCAAGAAGTAAACCAAAACATCTATTAAGAAAACATTATAGAAACAAAAACAAATTTTAAAAAAAATGTTAACCTTTCAATGTTCAATGGAGAACCACGAATTTGTTGAAGAGTAACACTAACATTTTTACGAACATTTTTTCGTAGATTAAATACATTTTTTTCTGGTCTATTAAAACAAAAGAAAAAAGACTTAAATTTTCTTTATAATTAAAATGTTACCTTGGTACAGATGTTAAAATAACATTTCCTTTACTATCAATATTTTCTTCTTTAATATCAAAATAACAACGAAATTTAATTGATCCATCAAATGTTTGTTGACTATTTGATGATTGATTGGAATTTAATGCTTGTGGTTGTAATTGTGCTACAGTTGCTTGAATTGCTTGACCAATTAATGATGTTGTACGACGTGAGATTGACGATGGATTATTTGTTGGCATAGATGTTCGACGAAACGCGTTTGCAAAACTCAATAAAATTCGATAAATCTATTTGAAAATAAGGATTGCTTTTTTTTCTGTAAGAAAAGAAGAAAAAAAAGGTTTACTGCATCCTGATTTTCACATCGAAAAATTTGACATTGATAAAGAATTTCATTTGGATTTTTTCCATTTTGTTCATTTGCTAATGTTGATGGACGTGACGCAGTAAATGCCCAACAACATGATAGTGGACTATTTGATGGACCACGAGCACAAAAGAGTATTTGCGACACACGATATGACATTATTTCGACTTCACTTTGAGGATCAAGAAGTCTAGAAGTATTACATATTAATTTAAGAAAGAACTAACGAATTTACTATGTCAATCAAATATTAAAAATTTAATCAATCCATCGAACAAAAAAAGAGAATTTAAAATATATTTTGATGATAAGCGAACGTTTATTAAGATAATTTTTTCAATATCAAATCCGAAGAGACATGTTCCGACATATTTTTATGATCAAATAACCAATTTAATTTTATATTTTCAAATGATGATATCTCATACACATACTTTAATTAAAACAAAATAATAAATAAATTTGGTGTCCTGCCTGCATACGATTTTTTATACCCAGACTCAGATCGACACTTTTTTATTACACTCGATCGCAGCTAATCGACATTCGGCACACATTTTCACAATCAAAGGACTAGTTTTAAACTGTTAGTTTATAAGAAAAAAATTAGTGCGTAGTATCTTTCATGAATATCAACGAAAACAGCGTTGATCCCAGATTCCACAAAAAAAATAATTGATTCAAGGATTCACTTGATATCTTTCTGCTTCTGAAACCTGATCAACTTCATTAAGTATATGTTTGCTTGTTGCTGATGACACTGGAATGGAATTTGGTGTTCGTATCAAACGTCATAATTGTGGATACTTGAATGAACGCTTTTTCCCTCATAAATAATACATGTTCGCCTTTGTGATGGCTCATTTTTCTCTTCATGTATTCAATTAGTTCATCATATGGTTCCTCATCATTTACAGATGAATTTTCATTAAAAAATTCTCTTAGTAAAACAATATTGCTTTCCAATTTTGTGATCTATTCTCAAGTACAATAAATGATTCGGTCATAATCGGACTAGTTTTCATTCCTATGCGTTTATATATAGCAGTTTGAGAAAGTAAATGTATTTTGTAACGTCAAGATCTCATATATTGCCGGTTATTATCTCAAACCTTGATTCAACCCGGCGCGTTTGTGCCCGAACCCATGCTCCAGACTGGGTCGAGTGCTGGGTAACCGATCCGGTTTCAGGACACAACATATATTAAACTTGTCTCACTCTCAGTAAAATTTCTAATCTCATTTTAACCGTTATTATTAGATCGAATAAAATTGTTGCTATATGAAAAAACGTACGAATATAATCTTAAGACAAATTTCGAATGTTTTCTAGGAGAAACAGTTCACTGAAGAGAAGCCAATCATAAGTATAAATACAACAGATCCATATTGGCTAATTGAAATAGTTTCAGTTGTGTAGTTATTTTCGTAGAAGTTAAAATTACTGGAAGCCTTATTTTATTCTGCTATAGAAGTTTGTCTTTATTTTATTTCAAATTATGTAAAATGAACTACATACACAAGATATAATAGAGCTATAAAAAACACTATCCGTAGAATAAATGACCTCATTTTTCAAAAGAACAAAAACGAATGCCATTAGACTGGTTGACGTTAAAATAGCTTTTTACTAGATCCTGCTCATTTAACAAAAGCACCGATCATCTGTAATTTGACTCGGCTCTTGCAAACCATCGCGCTCGAGAACTGTCACATATCTAATCATAACTAACAACCATTTCCATAAAAACACTCGTGATGCAAATGCTAAGTTAAAACATATTCAAATTGACTGTCTTCGTAGTCTCTTTATTATTGTTGCTCTTTTTTTTCATTTTCGATCTCTAATTCAAATTAATAATGACAAGAATATACTGAACTTTATCTCTTATGGTCTACATAGTTAACTCACCGAACTATACCATTAGCATTGTCTGGAACACATAGAGTAACTTCCAGAGCAACTTTACTTTGTTCATTTAAAATAGCCATATTTCTTAAAAGAAAAAATAATATAGGTTTTATTTATAAATAGTTTTTACCTATGAAGTTCTTCTTCAGATCGAGGTGCATTTACACTAGCAGATCCTAAATAGGTTACACCATGAAAAAGTACACTAGTAGTCAGATCAGGTCGAGATTCTTCTATTGTAAAACATATGAACACAAAAAATTAATGACAGAAAAAACCGAAGGTTTTACTTTGTTCAGTTGATGTTTGAGAAACATTGTCATCGGGATTTGATTCAGATATAGGAACATTGCTGTCAGAAGTCTAAGAATAAATGAATATTAATAAAATATAATTAAACATAATGAAAACAATTTTACTTCATTTAATATTTCCGCCATATTTTTTTCTAAATCAATAATTTCACCACCTAAATTAAGAAAAAGAAATAATCTTAGTGTATTAAACGAAACCAATAAAAATAAAGCAGAAATCGACGAAAAAAAAAATGAATTTTTACATATATTAGAATCATATTAAATAAAACAGAGGGAAGAAAGAGCGTTTTTTACTTACTAGAAAAAAAATTTTTTTTCTATATTTATGCTGGAATAAAAGTTAGAAGGAAAAGAAAGAAAAAGAAAAAAATGACACTTACCAGCAGCAACTTTCAGTTGAGGTTGTTCTTTATTAATGAGAATAAAATCAGCTGAATTTAAACTACTTAAACTAGTTGAATCATCCATTCGTATTCATTTATAAATTTCTATCTATAAAATACGAAACAAAAACGAAGACGATGACGAATAAAAATCAACTGATTAAGTTGATCAGGGAAATTTCCGTTTTAGTATTCTCGTGTGTCTCAGTTGCATTGACATTAACAGACAAGTTAATGGTAACACGCAAAAGTAATATATCTATTGGACTGGATAATTATTCTACAATTGTTTTTTATCCATGAATCTAGGTGATCATTCAATCGTAAAAAATATACATATCTGATTCATTAAAATATTAATAACGTGTCTTTTATTTGCTGTTATATTTACTTGAAAGACTAGGAAATTAGATCTGCATAGTGGATATTATGATTAATTTTGGAAAATAAACAATAATTTTCAAGAAACTAGTGATTAGAGAGGCAAAATTTTAAAGAACGAAAGCGTTTCGTTAACGAAGATAAAAATGTCTCCAGAGATGGAATTTGTGAACCTCGATATTTCTCGTCTAAAGTGAAAGAAAAAAAAAGAACAGAACAAGGGCGATACTACGACAGCCTGCAATGATTGAGTATGTCTGAATTTAGCTGGATCGATCGCTCATCTTCATCATTCATTTTCTTTCTTTACAGATCGTTCATTTGTTCATTTCTTTGACTAACTAAATGATATTTAAATTAAATCGTTATTTAAAATTTTTCATGTTCAAATGAAAAAATGATTACATTGTAAAAAATATTCAATAAACTTTTTACATATAGATGTCACTATTGTACAATTATACTAATAAAGCGGATATATCCAGCGAGCAGTGTTTCTAATGGCAAGTGTACACTGTAGAAACGAAGTGTACAGACAGTCTGTAGCTGTAAAAATACACGCTGCTATACACTTGGTTACAAACAGCAGAGTGTACAATGTATACTTTGCAGGAGCGATTTTAAAACTATTCTTAGTTGAAAAATTATGCTTAAACCATGAACAGATCGTGATCTATTTTGATTTGTTGTATCATTCGTTGAGTGCCATCATTTTTCTGACTTTGTTTTCAATATTCCTTTCCAGATTTATGTCAGTTCGCTAAAGGGTACTTATGTTATGGCTATAGAATAAAATTGAAAATTTTAACAGATTCAATTTAACGAATGCTTCATTAAGAACTGATCTTCTTGGTATTTTCAATTTTTCTCCACTTTACATGAAATCGAGTTCACTTTTTTATGAAAAATTTTGTGGTTGAATTTTCTACTAGAAGACACTGATTGTGTTCTTTTCACAGTGTAAGAATAGAAAAATGTCAGAGAAATTCTGAAAATTCTCTATAAAACCCGAAAAATTTGAAGTCTTTTTCATAGTTATTGCTTTCGTTTCACGGGAATTTAGGAAATAGGCAAAACTTAATTAGCCATTAGGTGACCAAAGAAAAACTATTTTTTTTTGTTCTATCTAGCTACAGTTTGCAAGAAATTATGTTGCACAAGAAACCTCTGATAGTTGTCTAACTATAAGAAATTTTATTTTTTCGTTCGAATTTTTCACGAGTTTCCGAGAGAATCCCGTAAATCAACTAAAAATTAAACTTTAGAGTTTTCTTTTGATTTAGTTTGAAGACAAACGGATGGTGATTTTAACTTAAATCTAAAAGTTTGATTATATATTTGTTTATTTTTATGAAAGTTAGAGTTTTTCAACTAAATTTTAAGACGAGAACTTTTACGTTGGAATATTTAATTGAAAAGAGTTTTACTATGCATAATGAGAGAGTACACTGAACTCTAACAGAAAACTTACTAAGACACAAGTTCATGTTACTTTAGTTGTTTCAGAAAAAGTGAAAGTTTTGTGAAAAAAGCATTATATTTTTCGGATTTTATAGAACTTTCAGAACATCTCATACAATCTTCTCTGTCTATAATGTGAACAGAGAACGATTAGTTCATTCTTATAGATAATTCAATGACGAATCTTTTCGTAAAAAAATAAGTCCGATTACGTAAAACAGGAGAAAAAAATTAAAAATACTATGAGGTCAGTTCTTTATGAGCCACTCGTTAGTTGTGTTCAAATTGTGCTGATGTGCATGAGGATGAAGATGAAAATAATAGTTTTGATTGATTTGTGATTATGATGGGTTTTGAAAAATAGTAAATTGTAGCTTCTCAAATTCATCTGATATTCTGATGTTGTACTTTTATGTGATCAATCTTCCTTAATGAATCGGATACGAATTGCTGTTTCTCTTATTCTCTATTGGTTTATTTAATATTGATTTATCTTTTTACGCAGTAATAAGATATGAATATTTTTTTAAAGTTTTTAAATATTAGATGGAAACATGACTTTGTACACTAAGGTATATTTTGCTTATGAAAATCAAGTGTACATATAGATTTTGCTCGTATAAAACAGAGTGTACTGCACATTTTATTTTAGATTTCCATTAGAAACAGTGCCTACAACTATTATGGCTGCATGTGGTGCATGGCATTGTATATTGACATTGAAAATGGATCGGAGGATATATTTATCTTTTCTTTATTTATAGATCGATGTTAAATTAAATATTAATAAATTTTTCAATGCAATCAATAAATCATTTAAGATCATCAATCCTTAATCAATCTTTACAGAAAACAAAAGGAGATATAATTAATACAAAAAAAAAATCAACAAGAATAATTTATCTTATTTGTCTTTAGGCTAACTGAAGTACATTTGCTTTATTATTTTCTGAAATGGTGCAATATTCATAGATGTTATAATACCAATACGACGGGTATCGACAGCCAGCCGTCACGATACCCTCAAGAATGAACAACGAAAGTATATTGACATTACCATCACATATTGTACCGAGAAGTAATGACTTCATTACCGTACCAAAAATATATCCATCATATAACTTGAGAAATATGAGTGGATTTAGGGTATTACTCTTCGCGTAATAGAATCTCAATGCATATCGATACAGCTGTGTATTTGAAAGCTGAGGAATATGAGTGGATTTAATGTAACCACCTCGTTACATAAAGTGAACTATGTATTTGAAAGTTGAGGGATGTGAGTGGATTTGCTGTAATCACCTCGTTACTTCAAAGTTAGCTATATAATCTGAAGATTGAAGAGCTTTAGTTGATTCAGTTTAATGATTTCATGACCACAAGAAATAAATTATATTTTCTTCAAATACAACAATATCAGTTGTTTGACTTTCCAAGTGCGTATCTGCACTCGTATTTAGGCCATTTCGTAGAAGAAATAAAGCNTCTCTCTCTCTTTCTCTTTCTCTATATGTACTTGTCACCATTATAAGTTAAGGACATTCTTCCCATGTGAAAATTTATCGGGTCTAAATGCGTCCGAACGTGGCTTGGAAACCAAACGGATCTAGACGCATCAGAAAGTATCATGAAACATCTGATGTATTCGAACGTGTCTTGGAGTCGAACGCATTCAGACGCGCGCACTACAGCATAAGCGTTTGCACGCGTTTAAAGAAATTTACGAAAAAAAAGAAATATGTTATACTCGCAGATTTGCTCTGCGGCACCGTCACAACGACGTGATGATCAGCTCTTTCCTAGATGCATAGTACAGAACAAGCAATTAATCGACTTACGATACATATAAACTGGTTGAAAAATTTTTTTTTCATGCAGAGTCGATAAAAAATACATCATTCGAAAAAACTTGAAAAACTGAGTATAGGTATATAATTTTCTCGGAGGGGTATGACCAAGTACCCAGCAAAATTTTTAAACAAAGATTCTTCAGTTAAAACAGCTGAAACTGATCGTTCTCTTTCTATGCGATCACTTTTTTCTTTCTCGTTCTGTCGTTCTTTCGTTCTGTCTTCGAAGACGATGAACATATTCAGCTGGAGAATCTTTGTTTAAAAATGTTTGCTGGGTACTTGGTCATACCCCTCCGAGACAATTATATACCCATACTCAGTTTTTTCAAGCTCTTTCGAATGATGTATTTTTTATCGACTCTCCATGAAAACAAATTTTTTCAACCAGTTGATATGTATTATTAACAAAATTCCTTTCATTATTAAGAATTTTGTCATATGCATAGTGTTGAAAACTATACAAATAAAATTAATATTTTTTGATGTATTTGAAAACAAAAACTGATTTTGACAAAAGAGACGTTATTCTTAGTAACAATCAGACAATATTTTTTACTATTGTGTTTACGAAGGGCAATTGTGGTTGTCTCTTCAGGTAATTATTACGATAATATCCTATAAACAGATGACTAACAAACAAAACAAGCAACATTATATTTGCTTCTTTTTTTTACAAACAACATGAAAGTCAAGTGTTTCAATATTTAATATGGTGATCTTAACTGGTTATCTGGAAGTTGTCAATAAATTGACTAGTACAGAGTAGCTTTTGTTGGTCGTTTAACAAGCATCACTCCAAGTTTATCGATATGTTTAACACCACCTGTAAATCATTATACACTTAAATTTGAAAACGAATTACGACCATTAAAAGGTTCCATAGCAACTATATATGAATTTCATTATGAGTAAAAATTGGACGATGAACAAATATTGAATATTAATAATACATTAAATCCAACAAACAATATAAAAGCACCACAACCAGATCAACTATACGTTGCTATACTTCACGGTGATAATAATACTGTTCAAACGTTAATAGGTATTGAAGAAAGTGACGTACCACCATTACAAACATCAACAAAATAATTAATGTTTTAATTTTGAACGTTTTCTCTTTTTTTTTCTTTTTAATAAAATATTTTTACTGTACGATATCTGTTGATAAAAATGTTCTATTTTGTCAAGCCGAAAAAAGAAATTATTATGTGGACAAATTTTTCAATATATATTCATATATTATAGAGGAAACCTAATTGCTGCACTTCTTCAAATGTTAGGACAGCTAACAATTGTCCGATATAGGTTTCGTTATAAATATTTAAAAAATTATTACTCCAAAAAGGATGAAATTATGCAGTAAATGACGTTAGCAAGGATATATTAA